AAATAATAACAACAATAATCATCATCATTATTATTATAATAATGTAGGCAAGATATATTTTTAAGTTTAAACAGTATTATTAACATTTTCTCCATCCCTTCCTTAAATCCATACAATCAATAGAACAATAAATCAAGCCCAGATTTACAGCTTTTGCATTTCTAAAATGTACATGTTCAAAGTGAAAAATCTAACAATCTGCTCTAGTACACCTGCAGGTTATAGGTCTGTCATCTAATAACCAGCCTAGCTATGTTCAGAGAGGCTTACCACTAGGTTGGCTGCAAGTACAGTCATTGACTTTTCAAACAGAGCAGCCCCCTAATGACCATCAGTGGTCTCCAAACTTTTTGATTACGTATCACTAACAATAATTTTATTTCCCTTGGTGCCTATGTTGGGGTAAGGAAGAATTTCCTGATGGCAGTTGTGTAACTACTATTTTGGGTTCCAAGTTAGGGTTGGATTATAACTATCCCGAGGGGCTGACATCTAGTTTAGAAGGGAGAAGTTGAAGGTTTACAGGGTCTTCGGTGTGGAGTGGGAGAACACTATTAATGTGTGAAGGGTTAGTGGGTTGGAGATAAGCCCCAGACAGGACTGGCTCTTGCAGAGTGGTGGGACGGGATGGGATCTATCTTTCTATTCAATGTTAGATCCTGCTGTGGTCCCTATTTTGGAGACAACTGTGCTATTTCATAGAGAAATTGTGATTGAAATTAGTGGAAGGTTCCGGATCCTTGAAGCATTGAATACATGCTACATACATACATATGTGCATGCATGCATATATACATACTTCGGTTACATATCTGCACATATAGATCATATATACCTGGATGCATGTGTGTGAATACACACACACACACACACACACACACACCCATATGCTTATATGAGTACATATGTATCTACACATTCATATCAGTTTAGAGTTTACAAATAGCTTAATATATACCACATAATTTGATCCTCATAACAAATCAGTGAGACAAGTAGGCAGGTAGCCTATGCCAATGGATCACCAACAGAACTAATCAGTTAGTCAATGAATATTTATTCAGCACATTTATACGTGCCAGGCACTGAGCTAGTCCAAGTCTTGACCCTACTGGCCTCCTATTCCTGATCACCTCCCACTATGCCACAGGGGAAGCCTTCATGGAAGAGCTGGGCATGAGCTGGGCTTTACAGGATGAGTAGGTTTAGGTGGGCAACACAGAACAAAAGAGTTCCTTCCTCCAACAAAATTCCTTCATGCCATTTTAAATCAATTCAATCCAACAAAAATTTGGTAAGCACCCAGTATGTTCAAGGTACCCACTATGTTCCCTACTATGTTAGGGAAAGACAAAAACAAAAAGTCCCTGTCTTCAAGGAGCTTATTACTATTGGGAGGAATATAGTATGTAGATAGACAAGGAAATATAAAGTATTATGTATTCTGAGGAGGGAGAGTACACTAAAAATTAGGGTCATTACGAAAGGCTTGACAGCTAGGTGGCTCAGTGGATAGAGCGCTGGGCTTGGAGGCAGGAAGACCTGAGTTCAAATCCGGCCTCAGACACTTACTAATTGTGTAACACTGGGCAAGTCACTTAACACTGTTTGCCTCAGTTCCCTCATCTGTAAGATGAGCTGGAGAAGGAAATGGCAAACCTCTCCGCTATCTTTGCCAAGAAAACCTCAAATGGGGTCATGAAGTGTTAGAAATGACTGAAAAACAACTAAGCAAAGGAAAGGCTTCCTTTAGGAGGTGTTACGTCAGCTGAATCTTACAAAAAGATCGGATTCTGGGAAGTAGCTTGGAGCTCCGTAATACATGGAGACAGGAGATGGAATGTTGGGCTTGGGGAACATCTAGGTGTTCCCTTTGGTTGGAATGTAGAGTATGTGAAGGGGAGTCATGGAAGAAGAGTGGAAAATGAGCCAGGTTTTAGAAGGCCTTAAACACTAGAAGAGCAGTTTATGTCTTATCCTAGAAGTCGGAGTGAGTCCCTAAAGGTTTCTGACAAATAGAATGGTATGAGCAGCCTTGTGCCTTGGACAGCTGCTTTTGGCAGCTGCGTGAAGGATAGATTGGAGTTGGAAGAGAATGGAATCCTCGAGGCCATAAGAAGAGTACAAATCAGAAGTGATAAGGACCTGAACTAGTGTGTGAGGGGAGAGGAAGGGATGGATATAAAAGACGACAGGGCCATGGAGCCAATGAGACCTAGCAACTGAGTAAACATAGAGGGTAAGGGAGAATTAAGGGGAAAGGATACCTCTAATGTTCCCTTGATGCCTCTCAATAGGAATAAGGATAGATGGAAAAAGTATGGGGCTAGGAGGAATGATCAGCAGTTTTATTTTGAGCATTTTGAACTTGTTGAATTTGTCTCAAGGGCATATGGATGGTGAACTGTTCCCACAGGCAGCTGGGGAGGCAGGACAGAATTCAGGAAAGTGACTAGCAGGACTAGATCCCTTAGTTTCTCCCCTGGAACTAGGCAAGTTTTGGGGGGAAGGTGGAGCCTAGAATTTGTTCTGATGCTCAGAAAGACAGAAAGACAAAATCAGAGATACCAAAATACAAGCTGAGAGCAACTTTCCCCTAGGAATACAGTTTTTCCAGATACTGGTCTTTGCAATGTTTTGGTAGTTCCAGGAAGATTTGCTTTAGCTCTAGGCCCCAAAATGACTGGCTATGAGCCCTTTGTCCCCTGGCCTTTTGGTCCATTGGCGAAATGGCTACCCTTCTCTTATCCTTCTTAAGACTTTTCGACTTGCTGAGAGATATAGAGATGTGAAGTGTTGGTATCTGGCAGCTGCTTCAAAGCCAAAATGATGGAAACAAGCTGGTAAACCCATACCTGGGCCTTCTCATTTCAGTGGAGGAGTGCAGGGTCTAGCAGCACAAAGAGGTGCTTCCCTGAGGCAGAGAGTGCTGAGTGGATTGGGAGTCTGGAAGGAATCCTTGTGGGATCACATCCACTTTCATAATCTTCACAAGGAAGGCACTGTATCTGACTTCAGGACTCCCTCCTATTTAGGGTTCACCATGTGACAGAAGCACAAATCCAGCAGCAGGTGTCTTTGATAAGCTGATAACTTTCTGCTGAATAGTCATAGCTTGGGCATATGAGAAGGAAAGGGCGAGGGTCAAATATGTTAGCTTGGGGATGGAGTACCCAGATTCTGAACACGTAGGCAGAGTAGAAAAAACAATAACAAAAACTAGACCTCATTTCAATTCCTGGTTCTGTATTTACCAGTTGTGTGACCATGGATAAGCTACCAACTCTCCCTATGCCTCAGTTTCTCATTTGTAAAATGAGGTTTCATTATATGGTCTCTAATATGGTCTTCCCTCTCTGATAGATAGAATCGTGGGGGTATCTCTGATGACCATATAAGAGCTCCTGATGTTTCAAGAGACTTTGGAAAAGGCCTTGCCCTCCCAACCCAACTTCACAGGTCCAGTTCATAGGCTGACCTTAGAGATGACCTAATCTAGCTCCCTCATTTGACAGATAAGGAAAGTGAGGCCCAAAGCGCCAGTGATTTTTCCGAGGTCACACAGTCAGCAAAAGACAGAGCTAGGATCTGAACTCACAACCTGACTCTCTTATTCCAGAATTCCTTATAGGACCATCTTCTTCCTAATAATTCAATTCTAGCCCACTTCTTTGCTGAATGCCTGCTATGTTGCTAGCCTTATTTAGTGAAAAACATGGTATAGTCCCTGTCCTCTTGGAAACTACACTCTAGCTGGTGGAAACAGAATGAATAAAGAAGAATTTATTAAACACTGGCAAGTAGGTGGTGCAGTAGATAGAGAGCACCAGGCCTGGAGTCAGGAAGACTCATCTTCTCAAGTTCAAATCCAGCCTCAGACACTTACTAGCTGTGTGACTCCGGGCAAGTCACTTAATCTTGCTTGCCTCAGTTTCTTCATCTGTAAAATGAACTAGGGAAGGAAATGGGAAACCACTCCAGTATCTGTGCCTCAAGAAAACCCCCAAAATGGGGTCATGAAAAGTTGGATTGGACTGAAATAACTCAACATCAAAATTTATTAAATACTAAGCACTTGGGATTAAGTACAAGAATAAGACAGTTCCTGTCCTGAAGAAAATATAGGGAAGTGATTGCCAGGGAGGAAAGGGTATTTTGGTTTGGGAAATCACAGGAATGGTGGGTGGAGCCATAGGGGAGTTGAGTGATGTATTCTTTCCAGTAACAATGGCAGTATTGATTTGATGTAGGTTTCTAGAAGAAGTGGAAAGCAGGTGGGGAGCAGAGAGGCATCAGAGAAGGGGGTACCCTGACGAAGTCTGCCCTGGCAAGAAGATGACTGGGGAGGTAGCATGGCCAGCTAGATGTAGTTTGCCATCACACACTCACAGTTAAACACCTATGAAACAGATCCAGACAGAACAATATTAGATCCCAAGGTGACTGATGCAGTCATCTAGGAGAGAAATTACTGTGACTGTGGTAGTCAAGATACATACACCAGGGGAGTCATGAGACTGGAGAGGGCTGGATTTGGAAATGAAGAGAGCAAGGAGAAGATCACGCTTCAGTGTGAAAGATGGGCAGAAGCCACGCTGTAATGATGTGAATAAGTATTCAAAGACTGCTGAAGACACCAATTTGGCTAAAGTGGCAGTTTGATGGGGGAAACAGTAGGAGAGAAATATGCTTTTACTTCTAGGCAAAGTAAAGTCATTGATGGTGTTTGAATGGGAGAATTACGCGATCAGTGATACATGAGAAGACTAATCTGGTCAGACGGAGAGGACTGACTGAAGGGAGAGAACCTGAAGGCAGAGAGGACAGTCAGGACATTGTCATAGTGATTCAGGTAAAAAATGACAAGGGTTTGAATAAGAGTGGGGGAATGGAATAGAAGGGACAGATGGGAGAGACTGTGGAGGACATATAGACAGAACTTGGTAACTCAGTGTTCTGCTGATGTCCTGAAAACCCATGAATGAATGAATGCATGCATGCACAAATGAAAAAGCATTTATTAAGTACTTGTTATATGAAAGGATTGTGGACACAAACAGAAAACTGATGACAATTTGTGCTCTCAAGGACCTCACATTCTAATGGGGAAGACAACACATACAGGAGATTTTAGCTGTAAGTCAGATGGAAAAGTCCCATGGTCCTTAGGGTGCAGCTGCAAAGCAAATAGTAAAGCACCATCTTTAACATCACTTCCACCAATAAAACCATCCGTTTCTAATGTTGAACCACTTGAAAGCGCCACAGACATTGATGGCAAGAACTTTATTTTCTGGGTCTTCGGTATTTGTGGCTGCTGGGAAGGCAGGGGCTGTGGTCCTCACCCACTGGTGGCAGGTGGTTAATAGTGGGAGGTGGTGGTCCTTGCGGTAGCTTCTGTGACTTCCTATTGCCCTGAGGATAAGACACCAACTGCTCAGCCAGATTCTCTACTGTACATGACTCCCACTTTCCTTGCCAGCCTTGTTTTACATTATTCCCCGTGCTCCTTCAGACATTGCAAACTGCTGGCTGTTTCCTGGATTTCACACTCTACCTCTTCTGCACATTCATAAAAACTGACCCAGAATGTTCTCTCTCTTCATCTCTGCCTCTTAGAACCCTCTCCTTTCTTCAAAACTCTGCCCAGGTACTACTTCCTATGGGGAGCCTTCCCTGCTCCTGGTAGTGGTTAAGACTTTCTCCTTATCACCCCCCCCTTCCTGCTCCACCCCCCAGGAGAATATCAGCCCTTTGAGGGTAAGGAGTGTTTTGTTTTTGTCTGTGTGCTGTTATCACAGTGCCTGGCACAAAGTAAATACTTATTGAATTTTTGTTAAATTGAAGGGAAATGGATTTCCTGCACAAGCCATTCTTATTTGTGCTTTGTCCTCACTGGGAATACTCCAGGCTAAGCTTCATGAAAACTTGGTTGGAAGCTCATCTTGGAGACTGGAGCAAAAAGAGACCCTTGTAGAACATCTGACAGTGAAGAAAAGGAAGATAACGTTGCTATCACAGGGGAAGGATATCGAGAGCAGGGAAAGGTGTTCAGAAAGTCAGGATATGGATTCGGTGGAGTGTCACGCTCCTGCCTCTGTGTTGTCTGTAATGATGATCTGGTCAGAAGTCTGAGGGAGAAGCTGCTGACTCCTTATGCCCTGGCTTTTTGTGCTTAGACCACCAGGAATCCATGTCAAAGTCTTCTGGAGCAATTAGCCTCAATGATGGCGTCATACATTTTACTTTATTTTTTTCTTCAGTACATTTTAAAGAAAAACTAGCCTAGCCTTCTGGGGTAGAGCCTAAGAATATTGGTCCTAGCACAACCCAGACCTCTGGGAAATGAAAGGTTGGTCTTGATTTTCCCTTTGATTCAGGTCATCCCCAAGCCCGAGCAGGTTGAGGGTCCCATTGCCGGGCACATTTGACTGTCATGGAAAGGCTCTAAGTTGCAGAAAGGAGATCAGTCATAACAATTGAGGCTGTGTTTTCTCGGCTCCTCTTGCCATGACAAAACTTAATTCCTTCTACTCTTTTCGTTTGCATTTTGTCTGCTTCTCTATCCTTTTCCATTGGTGCACACTCCTGCCTTACCCATGCCTCCTACAAGCTCTCCATTCCTTCAAAGCATTGCTTGGGGCAACCTATTAAAGAAGACCATTGTTACTCCCTTCCAGTTGTGTGTGTATTTATATGATAATATAATAACATATTATTATTATTATTACTTTCTATAGATGTTATATTTTCTATTCCTCAGTTAGTCAATCAACAAGTATCCGTTAAGCACTTACTACATGCCAGGCACTGTGCTAAGTGCTGAGCATACTATGAAAGACAAAAATATGGCCCCTGCCCCCCAGGAGCTTACATTCTAATGGGGGAGAAAACGTGTAAATAACTATATTCAAGATACATACAGAGTACAGTAGATGGAAAGTAATCTCAGAAGGAAGACACTAGCATGGGGGGGGAGGGACTTAGAAAGGCCTCCTGCAGAAGGCAGGATTTGACCTGAGTTCAAAGCCAAAGAAAGTCAGTGGAAGAGGCAAGGAGGAAGAGCATTCTAGGCATGGGGACAGCCCTCATGTAGAAGACAAGCTCCTTAAGGGGACTACAGCATCACTAGAGCCTAGCACAGTGCTTTGCACACAGTAGGTACCTAGTAACTATTTGTTGAATCAAACTCTCTCTTCCTTCTCTCTTTCATTTCATCCCCTTCTCCTCCTCCCTTCCTAGTGAAAGGCATTTAACCTCTCTGTGCCTCATTTTCCTCCTTTGTAATATGAAGGAATTGGGCTAGAAGTGGGCAATGATGCATTAGCCTTCAGACAAATCGATAATGACTATGATGAAGATAGTAATGATGATAATTCCCATTTCTTTAAGGTTTTCAAAGTGCTTCCTTAACAGTAATTCTGTGAATAGATATTGTGAATGTCCATTTCTTAGATGACGAAACTGAGATGCTCATAAATTAAGTGACTTGGTCATTAAGTGATTGGTTACACAATCACTAAAGGTCAGAGGAAGGATCAACACCTAGGAATTTGAGCTACGATGTGGCGGTCAGATCTGTGCTTTAGGAGAGTCACTTGGACGGTTTCATTACCTTTCCAGTCTTCTTCTTACATCTTACTCCCCAACACACACTCTTCAATCCAGCGATGCTGGTCTCCCTCTGGTCCCACATACAAGACGCTCCATCTCTCGGCTCTCAGGAGTTCTCTCTGGCTGACCCCTATACCTGGAACACTCCCCCTCTGCTGCTCTGACAACTGACCTCCCTGGCTTCCTTTAAATTCCAACTAAAATCCTACCGTCTATAGGAAATCTTCTCCAGCCCCTCTTGATTCCGGTGCCTTCCCTCTGTTATTTCCTATTTATCTTGTGTATAACTTGTTTGTATGTATTTGTTTGCATGGTCTCCTCCATTAGATTGAAAGCTCCTTGAGGGCAGGCACTATCTTTTGCTTGTATTTGTATCCCCAGCACTTAGTACAGTACCTGGAACTGGTAGGTGCTTAATAAATGCTTATTGATTGAGTATGGGTTAGAGAGGGATTGAAGCAAGTCAACAAACATTTATTAAGTGCTTACTATGTGCCAGGTACTGTACTAAGTGCTGGGGGATACAAATACAAGCAAAAAGAAAGTCAATCCTGTCCTCATGGAGCTTTAATTCTGATACAGGAAGGGAACACATAAAAAGGGAATTGAAAAAGGGAGAGGGGAAAGGTAGCTTCATGGGCATTTGAGGGCACTGTGGTGAAGTCCAGAGAATCAGAAGCAGAGCCAGGAGAGAAGTGAGGGTGGCTGGCCTGGGCCCTTCCTCCAAATGCATGTTCCAAGAGATGCTCACCAATGGGCAGAGAGATGTCTAGGGTGAGGCCACACAGATCGAGGCAACTTCCAGAGAAGGCATGGTGATGAATGCATGTATGTAATGGAGACAAACGCAAGAGTTATAGAGATAGACTCTGTAAATAAGACTTGGCAATATATCGGATATGGGAAGTGATGGAGAATGTGGAATAAACCTGACTTATCTAGGATTGGACTTCCTCTACCCAATAGAACTCCTGGATTCTGGACCATCATAGCTGACCCTGAGCCTATCCCACCTCCCACCTCCTCACTGAGGCTCAGACTGGGCACTCTTCAGGGATTCCCTCTCTCTGCCTATGCTTCACCTGGGGCTCCTTACCCCTAAGAGCTCGCTGGTCTTCATGTACCCCTACCTAAGCCCAGCTCTGGGCCCTGAGCCTCTGAGGGACTCCTGAGCTTCATGTCTCCCAAGGTCTAGTTTGGGGCCTGAGCCCCCTAAAGACTTCACATAGACCTGTACATACATTCCAGGTTGCAAGTGAAGTACTGTACAGGAAATGAGAGCAGCATGGAGTAGGTTAACCACAGCCTTTATCTAGAGGCTCAGCATCTGGCAGCCTTTCTGAACCACAGTTTCTGGGAAATGGTGTTAAGATACAAAATGAGGAGGCAGCAGTTGCCCTGCCCAGAGACCAGAAGCAGGAGGCCTCTGTCTGGGGCAAATGCAGCTTTCTGAGAGCCCCATCCTCCCCTTGCCACCTACCAAGTTTCCTTGGCTGTCCAGGCACATACCCAGAAAAGAACAGGTGGAATGGGGAGAGGGAGGGAAGGAGGGGAAGGTCCCTGCAGAGCCTGAGGGGAAGAGCCACTATCTTTTCGCATTTACTTGTACAGAGCACGGCTAGCAATTTAAACTGCCCCAAGATTCATAAATTGTATGGGCAATAGAAATCACCTGGTCCAACTCTCACTTTCACATTTGAAGTAACTGAGGCCCAGAGAGGTAAAGTGACTTGTCCAAGGTCATAGAACTAGTTAAAGGCAAAGTAGGGATTTAAACTTAGGTCTCCCAGTGCTTAGCATTCAGAGCTCTAGGGTTCCTTTTTGTTCAGTCATTTCAGTCATGTCTAACTCTCTATGGTCCCATTTGGGGTTTTCTTGGCAAAGATACTGCAGTGGTTTGCCATTTCCTTCTCCAGCTCATTTTTACAGATAAGGAAACTGAGGAAAACAGGGTTAAGAGACTTACCCAGAATCACACAGTTACTAAGTGTCTGAGGCCACATTAGAACTCAGGAAGATGAGTCTATTTACTTGGTCACTAAGCTGCCCCTGCAGAGTCCTACTCTGTCACTATAAACAGTCCAAGCTGACCTGCATTTATCGATCATCTCCTGTGGGTATCACACCATCCCTGCTATGCGCTGAAGATACAAAAATTGAGTGAAAAACAGTCCCTGCTCTCAAAGAGCTGGAGGACACATTTACCAATCCTCTGCACTGCTTGTGCCTTCTCTGAAATTCCCATTTAACCTGTGACTACCTTGTACGTACATGACTTGTTCACATGTTGTCTCCATTAGACTGTGAGCTCCTTAAGGGGAAGATCCATGGTTTGTTTTTTTCCTTTCTTTGTATTCCCAGTGTACAGCACCTGGCACAGAGTAAACACTTAATCAGTGCTTATGGACTTCTATAAGTATATGCACGATTATTTGAGAAAGCAGCTAGGTGGCCCAGTAGATAAAGCACCAGACGTAAAGTCAGGAAGACAAGTCTAAATCTAGCCTCAGATACTCATTAGCTGTATGATCCTGGGCAAATCATTTAACCTGTTTGCCTCAGTTTCCTCATCTGTAAAATGGGGGTGATAATACCTACCTCCCAAGGTAGTTGTGAGGCTCAAATTGTAAAGCATTTAACAGTGTCTGGTATGTTATAAGCACTATATAAATGTTAGCTATTATTATTACAACTTAAAGAAAATCAGAGTTTTTAAGAGCAGAAGATGAGAAAAGAGTACATTGCAAGCATGGCGGCCATCCTGCATAAAAGCTCTAAGGAAGGTGAGGTATAGGCATTTAGAAAGAAAACTAAAACCATATTAAAAGGCTTTAAATGCCAAGCTGAGGAGTTTGTATTCTTATCACATATAGTGGAGTAGAAAAATCTCTAGGTGAAAGGGGGAGGGAATAAGCATTTTATATAGTGCCTACTACAGTCTATGTGCCATGCACTTCACAAATAGAATCTCATTTCATCCTCACAATAATCCTGTAAGGTAAGTGCTGTTATTATCCCCATTTTACAGTTGAGGAAACTGAGACAGACAGAGGTGAAAAGACTTATCCAGGGTCACACAGCTAGGAAGTATCTGAGGCTGGATTTGAACTCAGATCTTTCTGACTCCAGGCCTAGCACTCCATCACTTGTACTACCTGTTTCTAGAATCATTGGAAATACTATTTCTCCTGATTATGTTCACCCTTCCTTCTTTACCTGCCCCCCAAAGATTTACTTTTTATTTCTCCAAAGCCTGATTGTGGGAACAGGAGATAGGGATGCTAGGAATGTAAGCCCTAGTCCTGCCATGGCTACTCACTGTAACCTCGGGCAAGATCCAGACCTCTGACTCACAGTGGCCTCCCTCCCAGGGCTCACATATTCATAGGGTGTCAGAGCTGGAGAAAAAAATCTTAGAATATAGAACACAAATGGTTCAAGCAGAAGCTCCTTTAAAACAGGGATGCTAGAAGTGGGAGGGGGCTTATAACATAACAAGAGCAGAATTTTAGAATTCGGATTTTGATTGTTTGGACTTGGGAAGTTCTTTAGAACATGAGATGTTAGAGTCAGATGTGGTCATGGAAACCGTCTGATCCAAGATATCCCTTTATAGAGAAATCTGAGGGACTTGCCCAAAGTCACATGGTAGGAGAGCTGAGAATAGAACCTAGGACTCCTGACTCCCCAGAACTGCACCTGTCTGCTGGACTTTTATCCTTCAACTATTAGTGAATATCTGCTCATTCATTTATTTCTTTTTGGAGCCGGGCATCTGTTCTTGCGTTAGAGGAAGGAAACCACAGATGGTGGGTCTTTACATACCAGTCCATGAGTTGGCTTGCAAGGACTCCCTCTAGTGGTCTTCCACAGACTTAGCAACCTCCAGGTAGATCTCCAGGTCAGTCTCCAGCCATGATTTGGGTTGACCTTCCAGCCAAGACTGACTGGCCTTCAGTTTTAAACCCACTGTCAACACAGACACCCCAGTAAAATTTGAAGGTCACAAGGGTTTACAGTCTTAATTTCACCACTCACATTGTCTACAAGCTGCCTAGGCTTCTCTCCTAGAGCTGTTCCTCCCCCCCATATTTTTCTGCCCTACAGTACAAGCCAATTTACTGTATAAGCTTAGACAATTTGCATTCCCCCCCCACACACCCTCGGCACCTTCCATTAGTCCCCTCCCATCCCATCTTATTTTCCTCAGTATATCATGAGAGGGCTAGATTTTGTGACACTGAGGATTCTACAGTTCAATAATCATAGAATCTTAGACCCAGGAGTAACCGACCACAAGGTATTGGGGTTAAATGTAAAACAATAGTTGAAGGTGGAATTCAAATTCTGGCCCTGCCACTTGCCTTTGTGACTGTAGGCAAGTGACCCACCTTTATGACGCACTAATTCACACTTGAGTTTTAATGCCCAGTGAAGATTTAATGCGGCATCCCTTTCACAGACATTTATCTTTTAATGGTGTGATACTTTAAGACATTCAAGAACTGGTGGAAGACAAATGGGACGGTTCAACAGCAACTCAGCAAATGCTAAGCGCCGCCCATATTGTAGATTCTAGGGGTACAAAAACCTGATAGAAAGGAAACACCCACCCCTTGAAGCAATTACATAATGCTGCTGGGGAAAGCGGGAAAGGGAAGGATGAAGAGAATAAAATTTGGTGACTAACTAGGGGCTGAAATTTCAATTTAATTTAATTGAAAAAATATTCATTAAGTACCTATTCACTGACTTGTCTATTCCAACTACACCCAAGATCTATCCCGTTCCGGATTTGAAGGCAGAACACAAAACCTTCAGAAACGATCTTTGGGCCACTACATCAGCCAGCCACAGGTATTTCCTAAGGGATCTATGCTCAACTAAGAAGTTGGTGTATTGTTGCTTCTGCTCCAGATCTAGGAATCAGAAGGGGCTTCCCTCAGCACGTATTTGTATGAACCAAATGTTCACAGGCCAGCTCAGGTCTCTGACAAAAGCTATGAGTTCAGAAAAATTCAATTAGTGGAGTAGAGGTGCCCCCGTGTTCTTAATAACAACTCGCATTTATATATCACTTTACAGCGTAGGGTGTGTGCTGCTCATGTAAGATGTATATGTCCACTAGGGATGTTTAAACATGGGGAGCTATAGATAGATATCTCTGGAATCTTGCCCACCTGTCTCCGAAGGAGACTGATTCTTGACTAGAGGTGAGGAGAAGACATGAGACTGGCTATTAAGTTTTCCTGAGAAAAAAGGGTACTAGACAGAACTGTCTGTCTGTCCCACTGAATGTTGCTGGACTACAGGTGTGATTTTAGGTTCAAAAGTCATTAGCTTCTCTGGGAGTTCTCCTTTAATGGGAGAGGTACCTCTGTGCTTATACTCCATGGCTTAGTCCCTTTCCCGCCAAATGCTAGTTATACAAAAGATCATCACAAATGTCAGATAGCAAACAAACCCATTTTTTCCAAAGAAATACTGAGCAGAAATCAGAGAAGTTAGGTAGATTACAATATACCAAGAAGAGTGAATGAACCTTTTGTATGGGAGTAAGATGGGATCTCAGCTTACCCAAGAGAGGCCCCAAACTAACCAAAGGGGAAGTTCCCAAGTCTGCCTCCCCCTTCTTCCCTCCCACAGTTCTCGAGTTGGTCTCCAAGAGAGCCTGGAAGCACATTCTAAAAGCAGCAGGCAGCAAGGGTCATGCAGCACCCCCCAACTTGGTTGGCACACAGATTGTAAACCTGACTTTGGGGTCATTTCCTTACAACAAAGCTGTGAGGTTAAGTAGGGTAAGTTTCATTATCTTCATTTTTACAGATGAAGAAACTAAGGCTCTACCTGGTATCTGACACCATATTTGAACTCAGGTCTTTCTGATTTCAAGCTTGGCATCTTTTCCACTATGCTTGGTAACTGAGGGTATTAATTCATGTCTTACAGGTAGGGAAACAAGTACCATTATAGAGTTATGACTCAAACCCTGCAGAAAGCTGACGCATCATCTGTCTTAGTCCTGGGTGCCTCTCTCTCTGCATCAGGGTCCTCATTGGAAGGCAGCTGGAAGAAAGACATTGTCAAACTGAAGCCCCTCTAGGAGAGTAACCATGATGGTAGAAGCACTGGAATGCATGCAAAACAAGGATCTGGAGATGTCTAACTTTAAAAAAAAAGAAGACTGAAGAGATGTAATACCTGTCTTTGTGTATCTGAAGAGCTACTGAGTGGAAAAGGGGGTTCAATTTATTTTACTTGGCCCCTGAGAGTAGAACTAGAAATAAAAATGAGCCAAAGTTGCAGAGAAAATTATTTTGGCTAAATGTAAAGAAGAATTTCACAGTGAGAGCTGTTCACAAAGACGCCACTGAGGGTCTTCCAGCAGCGGCTGAATGACCACTTGTCAGAGATCAAGGAGAGGGTTAGATTAAACTAATTCTGAAGTCCCTTCCACCTTGGGGATCCTTGTGATACCCCACTGGGATTCTCCTGCCTTTGCCCCCTAGTTGTGTCCTCACATTCTGCACCTTCCTTGGAAACCAAGGAAAAGTCTGCCTTACTTTTTGCTTCATTCCTTATATGAGCTGATCTTTCCTAAAACAAAGTCAATTAATCAGACAGTGAATCCACACTTAGATTGCCTCTTATAGGAGAGCATTTGGCCTTCTGGAGATGATGACTTCTTCAAAAGGAACCAGGAAACCTGTTTGTTTTTAATCCCCACTTGGCCCTCGGGTGATGATACCAAATGATCGGAAGACTCTCTACAAAATGATTTTGGCTATGTTGAGAAACCAGGGACTCTCTGGTTGGGCTACAGAACCCTGAGGAGTGAGGCTGAAAGAAGTGAATGAGAGAAAAAAAGAGTGAGGAAAGGAAGGAGGGGAAAGTAGGAAGAATGAAGAACAGAGAGAGAAAAAGAGAAGAGATGAAAGAAATGGGGAGGAAGGAAGAGAGGGGGAGACAGAGCTGGGGAAGGAGAGGAGGAGGAAAGGAAGGAAAGGGGGAGAGACAGAAAGAGACAGACTGGTGTCTAGCTAGCTTCAGTCCCACAAAGTGTCTTGGGTCTCTTATTTTCCCTCTGGGAAGTTAGAAGCCAAGACTTATGGGGAAGGGCCTCCACCAGAGGATGTCTCTTACTATGGACCACGACTTGGGAGATTTATGTACATCTGTAGAACTAATGGCTCCTCATTCTCCTCATCTTATTTTCCCTCCATTTAATAAAGCTTTCCTCTCTATACTACTGTATAGTATATGCCTACATATAAGGAACTGAATACTGGGGGTACCAGTTAGGTGTTTTGGGTTGGGACTACAACCCAGAAGAGTAAAAAAAAAATCCCCCAATATGTATCTGGACCCTTCATATCATGAATGACACAAGAGTTACACTGCAATTCAGAGAGCGGGCAGGGCCCTGAACAGAGCACTAAATGGAAGGTAAGTCATCATGGCACAATTACGGGAAACAGGCCAATGCTGAGCACTCCCAAGAGTAGAAGCTCCACAGATGAGGAACGTGAACAGTGTAACTGGCTACTTCTAGGAACAGAGAGGAGAGAGAGACAGTGCTCTTTTCTAAGCACCCCTGAGGCACTGTGGCCCAAGAGCCCACTCAAGTGTGAAAGGTCCTATGAGAGGGAGGGACATTGATGGGAAAACCAGCCAGGAGGGGGAAAAGAAAACCAAATGAATTCTGTTATCACAACACCTCCCATCATCCTTCCTTTACTCCTAAAGTTGCTTTTGGCTACAGAGGAGAAGCTGCCTTAATTCATTTAGGCCATTCCTGGCTGGGACAGAGAGTAAAGCACCATTTTCCCAAACTGTTTTTTTTAAGAACTTTTGAAAGGCAAGATAAGAGAAGAATGAAACGGGGTGGGTGGGTGGTGATAGTAAAGTTAGGATAGTAAACCTTAAAAAGGCCTCTTCTATGGCTCTTCCTTACCACTCCCACCACAACACCCTCCCTCCCATGTCTCAGCTCCTAGGTACCTAAAGCCCCCACCCTGAGCTACAGAACAAAACAGCAGCTGTCTCCACATCTGGCTGCAGGGCATTTATTTAAATAGACAAGCACTTCCCTTTGGGAACAAAACAAATGCCAGTTAACAAGAAGGGCAAATGACAAATTCATACAAACATTTTGTCACTCTACACACTAAATCCTGTTATTAACCTCAATATTTTAAACTTCTGGCAGTAGGTATGAAACATTATTTACAAATCATAAATAAATCCTGGACTACTGGAAAATTAATCAAACAACTGAGCAAGTCACCTTCCTATGAGTACAGAAGATCAGCAATGCCCTAAGTAGAACTACAAAGGTCTCCCCTTAACTACAGTGTTTGCCAGGGGACTTGAGGCAGGTGGTGGGTGGGAAGCAGGTCTACAATAAAGGCCTGGAAGGCTGCAGCAATGATCTGAGGTCATTACCCACAGCATTTTCCCTTCAAAGGGTTATCCCCAAATAGTAAGGACAAACAGCTTAATGGATAAGGATACTTCACAAAGACTGCTTTATCAGGAAAGCCAGACCGACCAAGATAGAGAGGAGGCTGTGGCCTGGTTCAAGCCTTGGCATGGCTTAGCACTTACATATTGGTTAGTTAATGACTAACATATTCTACCCCACACCAAACAGCAGGGAGAATGCTGCTAGGGGCTCAGCCTGAGTCAGCAAGGGTTTGAGCCAACCCAGGGCAAACTCTGGATACAACAAATGAACAATTTCCTTCTTACCCTCTTTCCAAAGTCAGTATCACCAAACACCATCATTAACTAAAACTATTTGTTTACAAAGCAACACACCACATAGCCCTGCCTGCCAAGTGCATGCCCACCCTACAGACCCACACAGGGCAGCATCTGCCAGGCTCAGGAGGATGGGATGTGTGGGGGACCACTACCCTGCTTTACTCATCCTTCCCTAAGGGCGTGAGTCTCCAGTCCTAGGCAATGGGAGTCTATGCACCAGGTGGGAGAGAGGGGATAAATATCTAGAAACACCAGACAGTCTGGAACAGCTGGGGAGGAATAGATGGATACAAATGTAAAACAAAACCAGGCTGGTATCAGAGGCCCAGATCTCTTCTGTTACTACCTTGTCTTTTGCCCAGCTCTGACCTGCTGTGCTCAAGCAGAGGCACACACATGCACTCTCAAGAGCACGTGTGTGAAAACACACACACCATGTGCACATACACACTCATGGGCATGCTCACTGGCCCTGAAGCCAGGGTCATTGGCTGTTTTGCCCTTCTGAAGTGGTCGCTTTTTACAGGGACAAAGCATCCACTGGAGGCATTCCTCTGCAGAACCGTCAAACCATTCATGCCCAAGTTCCAGGACCATGTGCCTGTGGGGGCTGTCCTCAGGGTGGGCTCTGGCTTTTCAGGGCCCCTGGGGATTCCCAGTACTGGCACTGGCATCGTCTGTTTCTCCTCGGGCAGCTCTAGTGAGAACTTCCAGCCACCTCCGCTGGAGTTCCTCATCCTCCACGCTGAGATACAGAGTCTGGTGGGACTGTGAGAGCTTCAGGGTGTACTTTGCTTCTAGTTTCTCAGCAGGTCCGGCAAAGTCACTTCATAGCCAGGAAGGGGGATTGTCCGGGGGGTCCGCCCATCCTAGATATAAATGAGAATGAATGTAAGTAAAAGTTTCACATGCTTGATTTCTGCTTATTCTTTTGTATCCCCTTCTCCCTCCTTTGACTCCAAATATTGCGTGTTTGAATTATGTTCAGATTACAACTCTATACACACACCCCTAACATATCCCTCCTGCTTCTGACTCTAAGCCTTCATTCAAGCTGGAATGCTCTACCATCTATCCCTTTAGTTCAATGACAAATTTCCCTTAAGACACAGGCAAATATTCACCTCCCTTAAGAAACCTTTCAGGCCTAACCCTGCCACAATCATCTGTTCTTTTCTTTGAACTCTCTCAGGCTAGAGGCATTCAGGATGTACCATCACCCTTATATGCAATCTGCCTCTGAGGACATGGTGATATATTATTTAAACTTTGGAGCCCAGCAAAGTGTTCTGAATACAGCAAGTGTTTAATAAGTGTTAAATGTGATGAAATATGTGCTGAAATCATCATGATAATAGTTTACATTTACACTGCATTTTTAGGTTATAAAACATTTTATTATACACTTTATTTCACTTGAGCTTGATAGCAGGCCCATGAGGTAGCCAGGGTACATGGTATTATCCCCATTTTATAGGTGAGAAAACAGCTTTGGAGAGAGGAGGTGACTTGTGCAAGGTAAAATGGCCAATAAGTTACATTTGAACCCAGGTCTTCTGATTCTAAGTCTGGGGCTCCTCCTATCATAACCACAGCCAATAAAGAACAGAGTTATAATTTGAACACAATTTGAACTTAGTTATTCCAACTCCAAGTTCAATCATCTTCCCCTGCTTCCTTTTCTTCAAACATTGCTGTGTGGATAGATGGTGAGTTTACATTCAACTGGCAATCTCCCAAACCCTAGGCATTCAGGGAGGAAATGTGAAATCTCAGAGACTTTGAGCTAAATTCAGCATGGCCCTGCTCACGTCATCACACATCTCTATAGTGGGAAAGGAAGCCAAATCCTTGGACCCACTTCTCCAAGCAACCCCCACCCCATCCTTACCTGGCTTCCTTGTAGATACAGCACCAGGGGCTCTGCTTTTGGAATGGTCGCCCACAGCTTGCAGCAAACCTTTCCTTTGTCCATTAGCTGGAGGTGGCTACAGAACAGGCTGTTTTCAGGTGCAGTAATATTTTGCTTCTGGGGTGGTGGGGGAGAGATAAATATAGGCTCACTAAGTGCTCTCATTCCCAGATGGGTACCTGTCTCTCTGTGGTGCCTCTAATGACAGTTCTGCAGGCAGTGACACTGCCCAAATACATCAGAGGACTGACTGCAGAAAATGCATGAAGCTGGGGGTGGGTCAAGGGACAGGAGCACTGAAATTTAACAGAAAAGAGACCTTCCAAGTTTATTTATGTTCTGAAAATAGTGAGAGTCTAGAGAATCTGTTAGGCTTGATATTTTTTATGTACTGGTACACTTTCAAATTGGGACAGCTAAATTTTACCAGGGGTGATAAGTCTTATGGGTACGACTGATAGTGAGATAGCCTGTGACTATAAACTTTGGGGGGAAACAACTCAAAATATTCCCATGATTTTAATCCAACAAACATGTTCTAAGTCAGTGTCTATCATATGCAAGGAAGGTCTCACGTTTCATTTTTCAAAAAGATTTAATATTTTCCCCCAATTACACTCAAAACAATTTTTTAATATTTGTTTTTTAAAATTTTTGAGTTTGAAATTCTCTGCTTCCCTCATATTCCCTCCCTCACTGAGAAGGCAAGCAATTCGATATAGGTTATACACGTACAGTTATGCAAAACATATTTCCAAGTTAGTCATGTTGGGAAAGAAAACACAGATAAAAAAAAAGAAAAATAAAGAAAGTAAAGAAAAAAGTGTGCTTCAATCTGCATTCAGACTCCATCAGTTCTTTCTCTGGAGATGAATAGTATTTTCAGCAAAAATCCTTCATAACTATCTATCGGGGATCTCTATATTGCTAAGAATAGCTAAGTCATCCACAATTGATCATCATACAATGTTGCTGCTTCTGTATACAACGTTTTCCAGTTCTCTTCATTTCACATTGTATCAGTTAACATAAGTCTTAAGGAAGGCTGTTAAGGACGGTCAGTCAATAAACACTTATTAAGGGCCTCCTATGTACCAGGCACTGTGTTAAATGCTGAGGTAGGGAAGAGACCATACAGGAATGAAAAAAACACATCTACTGACCTCAAGGAATCTATGATCTAGCAGGGGGAAGAGACATATGCAAATAACTGTAATACATAAGATAGACTATGATAAATGCAAAGGACAGGTCAAACAGAAAAGCGAGAGAGATCTGAGAAGGGAGAACTCTTCTTGAGCTAGGGAGGCACCTGGGAAAGCCTCTCAGAGGAGGTGGTAAATGAACTAAACCTTGAAGGACGAGGATTTCAATAGGAGGTGGGAATGGAATGTGATGGAAAAGCATGTATTAAGTGCACACAATATGTAGGGCACCATGCCAGCACTAGGGGATACAAAGACAAAAAATGAGACAACCTCTGTCCTTAAGGAAGATTTATAGCTGAAAGGATCTCAGACATCATCTAAGCCAAAACTGAGAGTCTGAGAAGAGAAGGGGCTGGCCATAGGTCACACAGTGAGACTGGGCACAGCAGCTCTAACTAAGACCCTACTTCCTTTTCTGGGCATATATCTCTTTGATGATAAACTTTAGTTGCTCTTTGGGTCAGCTTACCCCTGGGCCATGTGCCATAGTCAATTCATATCCATCATGCCTCTTCTCACTGTCCTTTGGTTGACTGTAATTTTGAATCTGAGGATACCATGGCATTCCATGATTTGTAGCCATATATCATCATCAGAAAAAAAAAAGTGTTTAAATATGGGGTTATGTTTCAAGGAGAAGTCTGGGGTCATTAAAAGCATTGCACAATTTCCCAAAGGCAGTCAATCCTGCCTGCTCTTTTTCTTCTGTTCAATTTTAGGCCTGGCTCCTTATCCATCTGTGGTAGCTGCCTGAAATATGTGTACTTTTAGACCAGCTTTATGAGCCCTCCATCCAAATTACATGGGGCCAAGAAGAACAAGCAGGACACGACAACTTTTCAAGGATTTGGTGCTATATGTCCTTCAAGTCTTCTCTTCATGTGGCATCCTTGCCTCTGTCATCTTTCAGTCTGGCTTCCCTAGGATATAATGTAGTCTGCTAATGTTCCTTCTAAAACGTGGCTTGCGGAACTGAAGACAGTGCTTCAGGATAGGGTTGCAGGAGGTGGGTTCAGATCCCATCTGTGGTGTTCCCTACCTGACCTTGAGCATAACCTTTTATTTTCCCTTGGCCTCTCTTCCCTCATGTGTCCAATGAGAAGGTTGGCCCAGGTGGCAAATCAAGTTCCCTTCAGCTTTAGGTCAAAAATCCTATGGTCTTATAGTACAGATACTAAGAATTGGAGAGGGAGGGAAGACAGATTGGTAGATGTCATGTGAAAAAGGAATAAAGACTTACTCTGGTTGGGCCAGCAGAGGCAGATATCTAAAGAAGAACGCAACAATGATCAGACCTGACCAACAGTGCAATGTGCTCCACCCAAAGGTAGGGAGAGATTCCTACATGGTACAGGAAGTTAGACTTGACCTCTTAGGTCTCTTCAAACTTTGGGATTCTTTTCCTGCCCTCACAGAGTTTTCAACATAAGTGACAACATAAGCAAACCATGCTAAGTCAGTAAAAAAAAATGCCAATAATTCTCCTCGGATTACCAGAAAGTCCGACTCTTTTAAAAGAGAAATACAATTTTCTTATTTCCCGAGGCAATGTGGCACAATAGGTAGCGAGTTGGCCTTGACATGAGGAAGACTTAGGTTCAAATCCCACGTCTGACATCTACCAGCCATGTGCCCCTGGACAAATCACTTTTCAGGTAGAGTTTTAAGTGTTGAGATCAGCAGGGATGGAGAGTCCTCACCTGAAATCACAGCTCCATTCTGTATAAGATAATTCAGAGGCAGCCTGGCCTGATGAACAGAGAGCTGGCCTTGGTGCTATGGAGGCCTGGCACACACAAGTTGTGTGACCATGGATTGGTCACCCGAGCTTTCAGTGCTTCCAGCAACTGCAGAAGTTGCTAAGTTACAGAAGAGTAACTGGTTTGTCCTGGTGGAGAAAGCTCTGTGCAGGGAATTCCCTATAAAGATAAACTCCTAGATCCAGATGAGGACCCCCATCAACCCCACCCTTCAACAAATTCAAACCAGGGTAACAAAGGTTTGCCTACAAAAAAAGTCCTTTGGGGGAATCTATTCTGAAACAGATAAATAGATAAGAATGATTCATAATGAGCACATCTGTTGTTCTTATGTTTTTGAACTGCTAGAAAACAGTGCTAATTGGAAATCCTCCTCTCTCACACACAATGTGTCTGTACCGTGAATTTAAAATGAGAGATCGTCACTTCTTTTACCAAGTTCAACTGCTCTTGGCAAATGAGTCATCCCAGCTGGATCTATTAGGAGTTTCTTTATGGGTGGCGGATGTGATTTGTTGAGGTTTCTGATGATGTCCTGACTCTAGACCTTCCAATAAGGTAGCCTTCATTTGAAATCTCTTTCAAAGGGCTCTTTAAAAAAAAAAAGCCAAGTATTCAGTTTACCTTCCATCTCTGGAAGAATACAGAATCTAAGCCTGTGCTCCTACAAGGGAACTTGGGCTGCTTTGTCATCTCCTCAGAGAATTTTTTTTTTCTATTCAGATGACTGAAAGCCATTAAACATTTATTTTAAATCTGTTCCCAACATGAATTATGGAGGTAAGGCTGGGAGGTGGGAGGAGGGGTAGTACTGAGCCGTGAATACTGAAGCAGTTGGCATTTGTTCAAGAGGGATCTTCATTATTAAGTGCTAAGGAAATGTGTTCCCAGGTACCAAAAAATAGTTTTCCCACTACTGTTCTCAGCAGGTAGGAAGTTTAAAATCCCCAAGCATGGGGATTGGCAACCAGGATGACACAGTAAGTTTCTCACTTGGTAAAAATTAGGTCAGAAAAGATGGAAAATTAATGAGAAAAATGTGCTTAAGTCACAGCAGGCCCTGGATGATGTTACTTGCTGTCCATTCACCCTTTCCCCCTCCTTTCTAGACAAAAATACAACATGTTAACTGAAACCCTACTTCTAAGGAAAACTCATTCATCTCCCACTGATTTGGGATTTGGCTCCAAGTCTATACTGATAAACCTAAACATTCATTTATCCTTAGAGTTCAGTGAGGTATCACTCACTGAATGTTGGTAAGAAAGGTGGTGGTCCCAGGGTGCCTGGAGCTCAGGTAAATGTGGTCTCTAGCATAGCCCTCGGGTGGGGGGGGTGAGCGGGCAGGGGTCTTGGTATATATGTCCCAGAATCACAGAATCTAAGAGTCAGAAGAGACCTTGGAGTTCCACTTTTAGCTGTATAGGGAGCCTTGCGATAGCACCCTTGGTAAGTAGGCAGCCAGCCTTTGCTGGCTCCACTAAAGGGGACCTCACTACCTCCCAAGGCAGCCCATTCCTCTTTCTAAAGGTTCTAAATATTAGCAAGTTTCTCCTGACATCAGACCAAAATCTGCTCCTCTGTTACTTCTACTCGTGGCTCCTACTTCTGCCCTCTGGGGCCAAATTGAACAAGTTGAAGTCTCAAGACAGCCCTTCAGGCACTTGAAGACAGCTATGTTTTCCCCAATTCTTTTTATCCATGAGAAGCATCCCAGTTCCTTCAAATGATCTACATATGGCATAATCTAAGGCCTTTCAACAATTCTGGAGGCCCTCCTCTCCTTGCTGTCATTCCTAAAATGTATCTACACCCTCTAACATACTATTGTTTCTCATCTTTGTATCCCTAGCACCTATGGCTGACTTAATTGAATGCAATGAATGACAAAGTCAGCTTCAAGAAAAAGCAATGGATGTACCAGGAAACTTTTTATTTTTTTTTGGCTAGGCAATGGGGTTAAGTGACTTGCCCAGAGTCACACAGCTAGTGAGTGTTATGTGTCTGAGGTCAAATTTGAACACTCAGGTCCTTCTGACTCCAGGGTTGGTGCTCTATCCACTTTGCCACCTAGCTGCCCCCAAGAAACCATTTTCAAAATAGAAATGTATGAAAAGAGGTTTGAGAAGATAAGTTTTTTGAATCACAATGAAGTAATTCCAAAGAAATAACTTCCCCTGCAAATCTGATAACGAATGTGGCTAGGATGTGATGACTTACGTCAGCTTCTCTGTCAGAGATAATTTGAGGACTAAACCAGAAGCACATAGGTCTTTCCAAGAAAATCTCTCTAAATTCAATTCCATCTGATGATGATGATGTTGTTGAAGCTGGGTTCTCATTCCAGAGTGCTTTACACTATTCCATGGTGCTTTACAGAACACTCTCCTCACAACAACCCGATGAAATGGGTAGAAAGTAAAGACAATTTAAGAGAAATAGTAACAAAATACTAAAGAAAAATGTTTTTATTAACCTAGAAACAAGGTCTCAGCAATATGGAATATCATTTCTTGTACCTGGAGCTTGATAAGCGGACCTAGATAAGGATTTTGTTTTGATGGTCGAAAACACCATGTAATGTGTAAGAAATGTTTTCAATTTATCCTTTAGCAATCTAAGATAATTTACTGTGGAACTGATTTGATATGGAATCAACTAGTTTTGCTGGATGACATTTTTTGGGGGTGGTATTATGTTTTCAAATAAAGTAAATGACTCTGGAAAACCTTCCACAAGAAATCTATCCTCTATGATGTAGTTCCTAGATGTTACATTAAACCCATTAATCTGAAGCTTACAGAGTAACAGTAATATTATACTTTTCTAGCATTTTAGGATCTACAAAAAACTCTTGCCTGACAAAAACTTTGAGAATTGAAGTAGCACAAATATTATAGTCTCCATTTTAACTTCAAGGAGACCGAGGCTAAGAAAGGTTATATAATATGCCCAAGGTCACAGAGGAAGTACCAGTAGAAGGCCTGAAAGCCATGTCTTCTGACTATAAATCCAGGATTTTCCACCACACTCTACCAACTCTTTGAAATAACTCATATTTATATAGGCTTCTTAAAGGCTTGCGAAACATATTTTGCAGTGTGGTTTCTATATATTTTTGGAATATCACCTTAAAAATTCAGATGTCTAATTATCTTGAATAATTACTTTTCTTCTCCACAGTCTGGGAAGCATAGCTTTGGCTTTTCAATAATTTATTTTAGTAAAGCCGAAACCCATTCTTTTAGCTGTTTGGGCCCAGATTATAGACATCTATCTATTTAGTTAGGGTTGATAGCATTAGTGAGGCTCTGTTTGGCCAGCACAGGAAATACTAAAAGATCACCCAGAAACCAGCTAGAATTCAAGTGCCTAATGAAAATACTATAGAATCAAAACTACATGTCCAGTAGCTGCTGATGCTTGCCTCCATTTACTGGATGGAATTAAATCATAGGATTTAGATGTGGAAGGGACCTGAGAGGTCATCTAATCCAATCTCCTCAATGTACAGAGGAAGAAACTGAAGCCCAGAGAGGTTGACCCAATCACACAAAGATGGTATGTGGTAGAATAAGGATTCAAAACCAGGTTCTCTGACTCTGAATCCAGTGATCTTCTTCATGCTGCAGGTAATAGAAAAGACAGAAAGAAGCAAGGAAAATGAAACAGCAACTCCTAGAGTCTGGTGACTAGAAAACTGCTACCATAACAGACCCAGCATCAAATTCCAAGAAGATTTAACAGCTGAACTTACAGGACAAAGTCTCCAGGTCTGGAATTTCCTAAAATAATTTAATTCAATAAGTATCTATTACCTGCTTACCATATGTAAAGAAAGCATGGTGGGGACTAAGGATACAAGGAGCTTAAACTCTACTGGAGATATATGGCATAGATTCAGAAAAGTAAACACAAAGTAACAAAAGTCATTTCAAGAGGAAGCCTGCACTAACAACTGAAGAAGGGAAGTGGAAGCCAGGAAATCTACAAGGGGCAAGCGAGGAGTGAGTATATTCCGATGAGAAGGACCACTTGTGCCAAAGCATGGAGGTGGAAATGGACTGTTATGTCCAGGCATCGGCTAATAGGCCACTTTGACTGGAAGAGAGAGTATGTGAAGGAGAGTGACATGAAATAAGACTAAAAAGATAGGTGCGAGCCAGATCATGGAAGTCTTTAAATGTCAGGCTGAGGCATTTTTATTCCAGAGGCAGAAGGCAGACATTGAAGATTTTTGAGTAAGAGAGTGATGTGATTAGATTTGCGCTTTAGGAATAAGTATTATGATCAGCTATATGGAGGGTGGATTGAAGAGGGGAGAGACTGGAAGCAGGGAAACCAATTTGAAAATTACTGCAACAATTCAGGTTAGAAGTGATGAGGGCCTGAACTAAATTAGAGGCTATATGAGTTGAGAGAAGAGGATGGATGTGACAGATGCTATGAAAGAAGCATGGTTAAGGCTTAGTAGCTGACTGGCCCAGGAGATTGAAGGAGAGGAAAGAGTCAAGGTTATGAATTGGAATGACTAAAAGGATAGTAGTGTCCTCAACAGAAGCAGAAAGTATAGGTTTTTTGGGAAATATAATGAGTTCCATTTGTGACACATTTAGTTTGAAATGCCTATAGGATATCCACTTGGAGATGTCCAGCAGGTAGTTGATAATGTTATATGGAATTCAGGAAACAGAGTAGGTTTGGTAATCACCTGCATAGCGATAATAATTAAACCCATACTAGCTGATGAGATCACTGAAGGAAAGACTATTGAGAGAGAAAGGAAGAGAACCTAGGACAGTGAAATGCACCTAGTACCACTAAAGTTCAAGTGGAAGATTAGATATTGCCAAACCAACCACAAGCTATGACAGAAACTATTCAGAGCTCATGACACTCACCTCCAGCTTCTTCCTTTGTTCACCACCAGCCTCAGAGACAGGACTAGTTGGCAATGTAGTCTGCATAAGGAAACATTCTTTGCAAACACGACTCTGACGACTATTGTCTGCCTTGAATTCTGAGCACTTCCCACAAATCACCTGCAGCAAAGTGATGACATATTATTCTTTACCCATCACTGAAAGGGAAATAGTTTCATTAGAAATGCTGAATATAAAGGGATGAGAAGGAAGAAAATTTGAAAAATATGGGAAGGAGAAATATTGCTCTCCTAGGGCAATAAAGGTTTTTCCTATGTCAGTACATATTCATCATCCAATAACAACTGCAGTCAGTGTATCAGAGAGATAAAGATATCTTTTTGAAGGCCTACACTTACAGTTAAAGTGTGAAACCAGTTTGATTCAATGGACAATATTCTAAAAATCTATCTGTTGACTACTTCCCTGCCTTAGCAAATAACACTGGTAATAATCAAATGCTCAAAAGGGAAGTAGAGGGAAGACCTTTGTGTCTCTTGTCTCCTGCACCTTCCCTAACCAGGTTATATGCTTTCCCTAAACCCAACACTTCCTTTAAAAGCTCCGGGATAATGGAGAAAAGGTGTCAACTCTTGCAGCTCCTTGGCTAGGGCAAGAAGACAGAATGACCTTTTGGGACATGATTTTCACTGGAGTCCCACTGACCTTCTTGAAGAGTTAATCATTGGTTATTCTTAGAATTGGGAGAGGGGCGGGAAGAAAAGGGGAAGAAAGTCATGCTTTCAGCCAATGCACAAATCAAAATTGGAAGGTATTATTATAAGCTAAGGAGCCCTGGGGAAATATCAATTTAAAGTTGGAAGGAACCTTAGAAGTCATCTAGTCTGGAAGTATCAACATAACTGGGAAATGTTTAACAAAATAAATAAAAACACAATGCCATATGGGTAATGTTATTTTGTGGTTTTCTAAGTCAACATGTATCTAGCAGGGATCTGTTTCTATTTGAGTGTGATATTATTGATCTAGTCTAATCCTCTCATTTTATAGATGAAGAAGCTAAGGTCCAAAAAGGGATGTGACTTCCCAAAGTTACAAAGGAGGAAAGTGGTTTGAACCCAGATACTTTGACTCCAATTACAATATCCTTTGTATTGAAATACTTTACCTTCCCGAGGATAATGGGAAAGTATGGGTGCAGATTTTGTGCACCTGGAGTGATAGGATATACAACAGCACCATTTCAGGTTTTAATAAGAGAGGGTCCCTATTTTCTACACTTCCCTCAAATTGTGGTTTGCCTCCAACTAGAAACAGGACTACCTTGGAACACGTGGGGAGTGATAATAATAATTTACATTTATATAGTGCTTTCTGGGTGACAAGAGTATTTGGGGATATGATTGATTCATGTGAAGTGAACTTCTTTGCACAAAAGAAGAAACAGAAGCAAAAGCTGGGTTCTCCTCAGTGTTGGCCTCGATTGTGCCACTGAGAACAAATAAGACATGGCATTTCCCTGAGTCATCTGAGTCCCTATGGCGAGGTTGGAGATAATGTTCTGACTGCCTAGAGAAGAAAAAAGGAAAAGCCTAAAGAAAGTAGGGTACGCTCCCCTGGCATGTTCTCGGTGTTAGGAGGATAGCAGGGGAATTGCCCTGAGGGTTAGTGACAGAGCACTCTATTCTTTCCTCTCTAACTTGCTGGCCCCACCATTGGATGTGAATTCAGAATGTGTGGGTTTTCACCCTTAATTTGCTGCTCAGTGCTTTATGGCTTTGGGCTAGGCCCTTCTCCACTTTCCTCATGTGCCAAATGAAGGAGTTGGACTGGATCATCTTTAAGGTCCTTTGCAGTTCTATGATCCTAAGTAGACTACCTTGATCAAGATATGAAACTATTCTGTTCTTGTCCCGAACAAGTTTTTATACACCACAGAACAGGGTCCTCATCTGTCACTTCTTCCACATTTACATGGGGCCCACCCTTAGAAGATCTCTACTTACCATTTCCCTGTCTCTGAAAGGACAGAAGGGGTTGGTGTATGCTAGGATTGGCAACAAATCCATCCATAATTTGAGACCTTACCCAAAATGCTTCCTCTCAGTAGGCATTTGGGCAGTGGTACTGAATTGTCTTACTAGACCACTATATGTTTTCCTAGAACAGACACTGTAACTAAATATCTGCATTATAGGTCAGGTCTAGATAAGCAACATGAGTCAAGGTCTTAATGACTCGGTCTCTGTCTCTCAGAATCAGACTGCTTAGCTGCACTGTGATTTCTACCCACACACACAAGGCATAAGTAAAACACTCCCTTCGAGAACTTTTTCTTTTTTAAGCCCTAAAAGTCCTCCTCAGGAGGTATACAGGTATGTCTTGCCCAATGTCATTAACAGGTTCTTTGAAAACATGTTAGGTGAAACAACACTCCTGGATGAAATTAGTTCCACGTTAACAAAGTTGAATGGAACAAGCTAGTACAACCTCAGTAAAATGAGCAGGGGGTAGGAAAGGTGGACACTGCCTTGGTAGTCTCAGGAAGAAAACAAACTTGGGTAGGAGTAAGGGAATAGAACCCATATAGAGATGGGGCTGTACAGGCAAACGAACTCAAGTAGGGCCCAGAGCTTATTAGTCTTAGGTGATTGGCCTATTATCACTACAGTAGGGGAGCAGACACTGTGATCATATTATAGCAATGACTATTACAAAATGACACTGATTGGGAGTAATGTTATCCAGATTGTGCTTATAAAAAGATCTGCCTTGGCACTTGAAAGCATTTCGGTGTCAAAAGTCCTTGCTTTTGTTAAGCTCTCTTGGGGGTAAGCCACCTTACCACCTATTCACACTGAATCATGGTACGTGAGTTTTCATTCACGTTCCCTTTGCTGTGAAAGCCCCTGCTGGCAGTTACCTTGCCATTTTTTCTTTCTTTTTTTAAAGAAGTAATTTTTATAATATATTTAATAAGTAAATAAAAATTAAATAAGTATATAAAATTTCAAATAAACCATCAACTCAGTTATTTACATTTTGACAAAATAAAAAACCCTGAAAAATAATAACATCCATTTTGTGTCCATTTCTGATTGTTTTTTCCTTCTATCCCCATGGTCATTGTTAATGTTATTCTAGTTCTGCTTTTTTTGCTTTGTATTACTTCATATGTCTTTCTACATTGATTTGATTCTTTATATTTATCCTTTTTAAAAAAAACTGTTAAAAATAGAATCCATTACCATGATACAATTCAACTTGTTTCACTTGTATCCAATCCTGGACAAGTAAATTGTTTTCAGTTTTCCCCTACTGGCATAGAGGATAAAGGTCTGGCCTCAGAATCAGAAAGACCTGGGTTCAAATTCTGCTTCTGATACAGAGTGGCTATGTAATCACATTTAACCTCTCACTGCTTTAGGCATCTCTCCAAGACAGAGGTTCTTAACCTTTTTGTGTCATGGATTCTTTTGGCCGTCTGGAGAAAACTTTGGACCCCTTCTTAGAATAATATTTGTGGCTTGAACTCATAACTAAGGGACATGCTAAATTTCAGTCAGAGGTTAGTGAAATTGAAGGATGTTATTTTTTCCCCATTCGAGTTCACAGACCTCCTGGAATCTATCTATGAACTCCAAACTTAAGAACCTTCGATCTCAGACTGTTAGTTGCAGAGGAGGTGTCTACCTGCACTAACAAAATCACAGGTCCAGTTCCTATCCCTAGGTATAAATAAAGCCACTATCTATCCCTTTTGCTTTCTTAGTTTTTTACTATACAAAAGAACCACAGAAGCAGAAAGAGAAAGAAAAAAGATAGGTAGTAGATGACAGCTTGTAGCATGGCAGCAGAGTACAGTGGATAGATAGACTGCTAGACTTGAAGCTGAATCCAAATCCTGCTTCAAACATACATCAGCTTTCTGAGTTTGAGCAAGTTTTTCTGAGCCTTAGATTCCTCATCTGTACAATGGAGATAATAATATCTCTAGTACCTATCTCATAGGATTGTAGTGAACTTCAATAAGATAGTGTATATAAAGTCCCTTGTAAACTTTAAAGTGTTCTACACATGCTAATTATTATTATTTGAGATCTACACTTGTGGACTTCCAAAAGCAGCATTCTATGAACAGAAGGGAAAATTTTTCCATCTATGTGAAGAAGAAAACAATCTTCTCCCCTTAGACTTAGACCCTTTGAAGTCAGAGACTGAGACTCAAAATATGTTTCAAGACATTGTTTAACAGCTACCACACACTAAGGATTAGAAATAAATTTCTAGAAGAGAGTAAATTTTTTGAAAAACTTCTGTGTAGTAGCTTCACCACAGCTAATCCTGGGCAGCTCCAAATAAACAGCAGTCAGACTCATCAATACTAGGATTTTGCTCCTAAAACTAAGGTCATGCATTTCAGGCCCAGGACGAGAGACCATCAGAGTCTGCCTAGGAAAGATTTCTTGTTCTCTGGTGGTAGCAATGAAATGAAAGCAGGAAATGTGGTTTTATTCTAAAAAGGGGCCTAAGGGAACCCATTTGTAGAGCCTCATCTGTGCTTGGGGCTAATTTACTGATTTGATTTGTTTGCCAATCTTCAAAATGGAATAACCTTTGTTGAATTCTAAATTGTTAATAACTTAATTCCAAACATGTTTTCTCAACATCTATTCCATGGGGACAATTTTTTGTTTTAACATTAAACAATGATGTGACAGTCTGCCCTTGGGAGAAAAAAGATTTTGATGACTTGAAACTCATAAATAAAGATTCAAAAATGTCCACTGCAAAGTAATAAAAGCTAATCTATATCTGGAGGATAGCATGTGCATTAGGAAAAGCAAAAATCTGGACCTGTGCCCAGTTTAGCCTTTATGTACTTGGGCATTTAGCTGAAATGGAAGAAGTGCTTGTGCCCATCAGAGAGCTTTCCTGAAGATTCCTTTGCTGCAGATTCAATCTACTTTATCTCCCAGGACAATTTCCCTTCTAGGTCCCGAAACATTCGTTTCCCCTGTCTCTCTCCCTTGGGCCTCTAAGAAATAATAACAACTGACATTTGCATAGCACTCTAAGGCGCGTATGTAAATATATGTTAAGTCCTTTACGTATTGTAACTCATGCTATCCTAACAAATCCCATGAGGTAAGTACTCCCAGTACCATTAGCACCATTTCAGAAGTAAAGAGACAGGCGGAGAGGCCATAAATGCCAGTCATAAAGCTGGTCCACATTGGACATGGATTCACAACCCAACCTCCACCTTAGCCTTTTCTGTGCTATGCTTGGTCTACCTCTCAGCCAAGTTGTCTTGATTGGAACTCCAGCCCTAAGGCTGAGCTATCTTGAATGGAGACTAAGAGAGTAAGGACACACTTACCTAGCCTACCAAACTCTGCTTCATCTCATATTCAACACAGCTGTCCACCTTCCCTAAATCTCAATTTCTGCCCTTCCAAAATTTCAGCATTAGTTCTTTCTCATTCTAATGAACACTTTTTTTGTAAAGCAAGAAAGCTGAACCAGGGGGAAAATAATGAAGGCAAATATTATTCACAGAAATAAGTCTTGGATCTGATTCCTACTTATGAACCTTTCCCTCAATCCTGTACCTTTATACCTAGAGTTCTGACAAAGAAAGGGTGAAAGCTTAAAAGGAAATGAAAACCTTACAGTCATGTCTTTGTCAGCCCACATGGGTCTTTCGGAAGTTTCATGGGGCACTGAGACATTCAGTGACTTGCTCAGGGTCACAAAATTAGTATGTGCTAGAGATAAAATTTGAACCTAGATCTTCCTAATTTAATGATGAGCTTTCTTCACTGTCAACTTGCTTTTCAATGTATACATAGTATAATTATATATACACACATATATATTATATATACATACATACATACTATATATGTATATATATAGTGTGTGTATATATATGTATGTGTGTGTGTATATATATATATATATATATATATATGTATGTGTGTATATATATATATATATATATATATGGAAACCACTTTAAATTTTACAAAGCACTTTATATACAAGTGGCAGCATAGTACAGCAGATAAACAGACTGTTGGCCTTGGAGCTGAATCCAAATACTGCTCCGAACACATACCAGCCATATGAGTTTGGGCAAGTTTCTGTGAGCCTCAGACACCATCTGTACATGGGGATAATAATGCCTCTAGGAGCCATCTAGTAGGATTGTCGTGAACCTCAATAAGATAGATAGCGTATATAAAATTCAAATAGGGCCTCAGACACTTCCTAACTGTGTGACCCTGGGCAAATCACGTAACCACTGTCTGCCTCTGTTTCCTCAACTGTAAAATGGTAATGATAACAGCACCTACCTCACAGGGTTTTTGTGAGGATAATGTAAGTTAATATTTGTAAAGCACTTTGAAAATCTAAAAGCATTATATAAATGCTAGCTATTATTATTATATTTATTATTTTTCAACCAGAGCAACTTTCCAAGATGAGGTAGTACATACCCTAACTTTCTCTATAATGAGATACAAAGAGATAGAGCTATATAGATGGCAGCTGCAGACATAGATTTAAAGACTGTTCTAGTTACAAGTGAAGCTATAGAAACAGCCATGGACAAAGGTGGAGGGAGATCACCAGACATAACTTCTAGATCAAAGTACTTACAGCCCCACACTGTTTGCAGTGGTGCCGTCTTTTCGTAATTGAATTAAAGGTTTCATTGCAGCTTTTGCAAGTTTGCTTCTCTTTTTCTCTTCTATTTTTAGAAGATTTTCTGGAGTCAAGCTGAAAAAGAGACAAACAATTCAATGGGTCTGTGAGTTAAGCACTATCCAATGCATCCTGTTATAGAATTCAATTTTTCTTTTAGTTGCTTCAGATCCCCAAGACTGACCACATGCGAAAAACAGGGACCTGATACAGAGACCCTGGGGTGAGGAAGTACTTTTGAAATTTTGTTCTATCAGTTTATTAGGCACTGCAAGGGTGTACTCATGCACATGCGTGCATGTGCGCGCGCGCACACACACACACAAACACATACAAAGTGACAGGCATTGACTCAGGGAAGCAACATCAAAAGGTGGGAGAGGAAAAACAGTTTGACCAATGGGTATAAAAAAATGTCCGGAGGCTTAGATACTTATGTACACTCAACCATGTACAACCCACAAACCAAGGCAAGGGTGCAGAGTTTCCATTCTCCCTCTTACCCCCATTTGTGACATTTTCCCCCTTTAAAGTTTCCCTGATTCTTTATTATATCTTTATTATAATTGTGTACTACCTGTATACATATGTAAGGGGAAGGTGGGGCTCTGATTTCTTCTAGACTCTTTCAGTCCTATTCCTGCTAGTTAAGAGATCACTGGCATTTGCAATCCAAAGATGGCAGAATGTTCTCATATATATGCATGCTATGTGTGTATGTACATATATACATATATATGTATACACATATATACACATACACAAACAGAAGAGGTAACAACTTCCCAGCAAAGAGAAATCATAAGGTCAATTTCACTCTCTTTCATAGAAATACACAGAAGCATAAGCAGATACAGAGACATATACAGGCAGATACACAGTCCCAGAGACAGGCACAGACACAGAGACATACACACAGAATCTCATACACAAACATATATAGAACTTTCACCTCTGTTTAAAAGGCAAATGTAAACAAGAGCCTTGAAACATCATAATAAATGAAAAATTTCCAATGTCTTGAACACATAATTAATGACACTTTAATCATCCAATGAGTTCTTAAACTTACTAAAACTCTGCTATCAAAACAAAAGCCCTGGTGCCAGGAAATGAATTCCTCTCTCCTGCTTATCCTTCATCTCCCCTTGTTGAAATTCTTCCCATGTTTCAAGGCCCAGTTCAGGAACCACCTAGTAATCTTCTAGGATTCCCTCAGCTAAAAGTGATTTCTCCTTTCTCTAGGAGTAAGTACTTTGTCAGTTTCCTCTGTACTTGACATTCTTATTTGATATATGGTTCCTCTACTAGAGTGTAAGTTCCCTGAGGCCAGGAGCAATGTCTTATTTCACCTTTATTTATCATCTTATTTTATCACAGTACCCAGTGCTAAGTATATAGCAGGTGCTTAATAAGTATTTGCTAAATCAAATTGGAAAGATGGGTTCAAACCAAAACAAAAAAACTTAAATTTAAAATATAAAGTGAATTCAACAAATATTTATTAAGTACCTACTATGTGTAAGGTATTGTGCTAGGCACTAGTGATACAATGACAAATACAAAAGAGAGTTCCTTCCCTTAAAGGGCTTACATTCTATCAGGAGATAGAACTAATTCAACTCAACAAACATTTATTAAGCATCTACTGTGCTCTATATTAGGGGCTGGGGATACAAAAACAAAAAAAAATGGCAGCTCTTGCCCTCATGAACTTTACATTACTGCAACTGACTGCTAGGGGCAGGGTACAGCAGAGTCTACTCTTGTATAGACTCGAACCTAGATCAGGAACTAACAGAGCTTAGACTGGGGTGGAGAAGAGGGGTGAGGAGGGAGCAAACATATTTTGGCCTGGATTAGATCAGTCTGAGAGCACTGAAAGCTTGCAGGTCCCTAGCTTGTCCCCAAGATTCTAGAATATCAAAAAATTCAATAATCTAAGAAAGCAGCAACAGGACAAGCACAGCTTTCACTACAGAAGTGTGGCAGAGCCCAGCCCTAACATCAAGTCTGAAGTCAAGAAGTAGGCTGGAATAATGGACAAACAAAAAAAAAAGAACCTCACCATAATGAGCTATTATGGTGGCAAGGATGCTCAGGACACAAACACAAAAGAAAATGACTCCAAAACATCTACAAAGAATGCCTCCCAGCTTGGACACAAATTCAAACAGAATGTCTGAAAGAGATAAAGCCAAGAGTTTAAAAAGTTTCAAAATGTTTTTTTTATAAATGGAATGAGAGCATTCAAATTGGATATTAGAATGGATCAAACAGGAGCAAATGACTCCATGAGGCAACAAGAAATACTAAAACAAAATCAAAAGACTGAAAAAAAATATAAGAAAATGTAAGGTATCTCATAGCAAAAAAACTGACCTAGAAAACAGATTTAGGGGGAAAACAATTAAGGATCGTTAGACCATCTGAACATTATGACCATAAAAAGAACCTAGATATCATATTAAAAAATACTCCAGGCACTGTGTTAAGTATTTTTTTACAAACATTACTTCATTTTATCCTTACAACAACCCTGAAAGGTAGGTACTATTATTCCATAGATGAGAAAACTGAGACAAATAAAGATTAAGTGAGTTGTCTAGGTGATACAGCTAGTAAATGTTTGAGGCTGGATTTGAAATCAGGTCTACCTAACTCCAGGCCCTGTGCTCTATTCACCATACCACCTAGCGACTTCATATATTGTTGTTCAGTCATTTTCAGTCATGCCTGACTCTTTATGACCCCATTTGGGGTTTTCTTGGCAAAGATACTGGAGTAGTTTTTCATTTCCTTTTCCAGCTCATTTTACAGAGGAGGAAATTGAGGCAAAAACAGTGACTTGCCCAGGGTTACACAACTAGTTAGTGTCTGAGGCCAGGTGTGAACTCAGGAAGATGAGTCCTCCAGACTCCAGGTCTGGCACTCTATCCACTGAGCCACCTAGCTGCTCTCACTTCATATGTACGTATTACTAGTTTTCTTGATTAATAGTGAATGTATAGAAGCTCCCTTTAGTATGTTTTTTCTTAACATTTTCTAAGGAGAAAGTTAAATACACTGCAGGGAATATTTTTAAAAATCAGTCAACAAAATATATATATATACATATATATGTGTATGTACACATAAATATAAACATGAACATATACATACATACACACACACACACACATATACACACACTTGTTGACTACTAATGTTTTGCTTCCTTGCTGGGTATTTCTCTTTGGAAAATATTAACAGAAGAAGTTCCAATTTACACTCATTGTTAATTTAGTGAACTAGGAAATTCAAGTTAGAACCACTACCACCACCAAGTGGCATAGTTACACCACTTCAGGCAGAAATAGTACACTCCTGTTTCTCAGCATTTTTGTTATGGGGCATGCCTCTAGAATAAGATGTGTGTGAAAGGAAAAAAAATACATAGGTATGGAAGGAGGTAGGCTCATAGCACCCACTCACTCTGGTCTGCCACCTTTACCCATCATCTCCATGGGGGCCTGGCAAACACCTCAGCACAAGGGATAACATGCAAGCTTCCTCTTTTTCTTCCCTGTCCAATCTGAGCTAAGAGCCAGGCTTTCGGGGGATTCTAAACTAAGGCTATAGACTTTCTTCCATTCACACACCCTTTAAAAATGCAATAATCCTCTTTTGAAAAGAGAGAATACTCATGCTCAAGAACTTGCATAGGTTTTTTTCAAGGCTGAGGGAGTGGCTCATTAGTCTTCCTTCCAAGTTGACACTGTTCCACTAAAGACTGTTCTTTGAATTTCATCTTTCAACTGGCTCCAAAGCCACTCATACCATCTCCCAGCCCACATTTCTTTTCTTGTTCACAAGCATATTATGAAAAACTATCAAATGTTTTGCCAAAATTCAAATATAAGGCCAAATATATCTGCCATTTCCTTTGCAATACTTGCAAGGAATATGGTTATAGTAACCATGCTAAAAACCAAAAACTCAAAAAAACAAAATAAAACAATCCACCAGACCAAATGCATACTAGAATTTTGTCAAGAATTAGCAGTTGAGGGGCAGCTAGGTGGCACAGTGGATAAAATCTGACCTCAGACATATAACACTTACTAGTTGTATGACTCTAGGCAAGTCACTTGACTCCAATTGCTTCACAAAAAAAAAGAATTAGAAGTTGAGCATAAATAAAACATACACCTTCCCCCCCTTTTTTGACATTAAAGGACTCTATTTTGTCCATTTCCAACAATAAATCATAGATTATAGAGTCAGAAGAGACCTTGTAGGTCATCAAGTGTAACTCTCTCATTTTATAAAATAGGTAACTAAAGAAGGCCCAGGGACATTAAGTGTTTTGCTGAAGGTCACAGAATAGTAAGCAACAGAGGCAGGATTCAAGCCTGGGTTTCCTTACTCCAAATCTAATGCTTCTCCATCATCAGTCCCATGATGGTGGTCATTTGGCCTGACTGGAGAGAAGTCACTACTTTCTAGGGTCATTCCTTCCACTATTAGAGAGTTCCTAGTTCTGCCCTCTGGGCCAATCAGATTATGTCTAATTCCTCTTCCACAGGACAGTGCCATTTGAGTACTTGAAAAGCCAAGACACTATCTGTTCCTCCCCATTCAGCTGCTGGAAAATAGCCATCATCTCCCGGGGAGAAGCAACTTCCAAAAAACAACAGCAATAGAAATAAAGAGCCTGGAGAGGGAATAGATAGGGATGAAGAAGCTGTTCACATTGCTGGTCATTCTCTTCTGGCCCAGCTGTGAGAAGCTGGCACTACCTACCACTGCTGTTTATTTTTCTGCTCAGTGGTAGAGAACTCCATGGACACAGACACTCCTGCAACTGCTGTTTAAGGGATGGGCCTGAAAGGTTGGTGCAGATGAGAGATTGGTGTAAAGCGATAAAAGGGATACAGTCATGAGGTAACCCATAACTAGATAAGCAAAAGGAGCACTGTGATACAGTTGTGAGAACAGGACAAAGTCTGGTCAACAAAAGTCTTCTGGGAAGTGGCCAGCTAATATGGCATGGGTTATCTTCCATTGGCCTCAGAGGTACTTCGGACCCTTCTTGGGCACAGTCTTCTGCTCCTTTCCTCTATGGATCTTCTGAGCTGAAGGCAAACAGATTATCTTTGGGAGCTGATGGAAGGGGTTGTTCTCTAGTGTTTTAGGGTGAAATTCCCTCTGCTTTCCCAGGGGTAAGGAGCCCTTTCTCTGATAGCAGAGAACTCAACATTGGGCAGGGGAGGAAGTTTCTGAGCAGAATACCATGAATTCTGTGTCACAGACATAGAAATGAACAGGACTCCAGAGGTTATCTATTCCAATCCTTATCTACATGATGAATCTTCTGTTCTACTAGAAAGTCTGCAACAACTACTTTTCCAGCCTCTAAATCACAGCATACACACGTAGGCAAGCCATACACAACCACTGTTACTAACCATTTTCTTCCATATCACCTTCTGACAAATTAATTAGACCTTTGATTCAAATCTTACCTTTTGAATTTTTTGTGTGTGTGTGTGTGAAAACCATCCTGACATTTGTGCGTAGTGTGAATACAATTATTTGCCTTATGGAATCCATTAATTTTTTTGGATACTTACTCCTCCAAATCCACCAGAGCCATCCACCCCTGCCATGGACTCCACGGAGCTCGTGCTGGCCATCTGAAAAGTGGAAGATGGAAGACAAATATGGAGATGATCTGGTCACTAACATCACAGCTACTTAGCCATTCATTCGCCATTTAAAGCGCACAAGTATTAGGAGAGAGAGAAGTTTCAGATGATACCTGGAACCTAATCTCAGGAGCTTTTGCAAGGGGGCTGAGATATTGAAATAATATAATAGACAACATTCCATGATGAGTGGATAAGAGAGGTCTGACATGGAGTGTTCCCTAAAGTCTGAGGGTCACCCAGTATGGAATCCAGATGTCTTACAGAGGAGGCAGAATCTGAGTTTGACTTTAAAAGCAGTTAGGAAATCATCAAGTAAAGAGGGAGAGGCAGGACATTTCCAGGACTAGAGATCATCATGAGCAAAGCCAAAGGGGTGGAAAGCACAGACAGATTCAGGGGATAGAGGATAGACCAGTTCAATTGGAATGTGGTGTGTATGAGATGGAACATACTAGAAGATGAAAAAGAAAATGTAGGATGGTGCTAGATTGTAAAGGGCCTGAATGCTAGGCAAAGGAGGCAATATGAAACAATGGACGATTTTTGAACAGAAGAATGACATAAATAGATCTTCCTATGAAGGAAGGAAGATCCTGAAGAACAGAAGACTCATGGGGGCCATCATCTCTGTCTTCACATATCTGAAAGCTGCCATGGAGATGAAAAACCATTTTTTATGCTTGGCCCCAGACAGAAGAACTAGGTGCAATGAGAGTAGAAACATGATTTCACCTCAATAAAAGGAACAGCATATTCCTGTTTCCCTATTATGTTTCCCCTTTGACCTAATCTTTGGATAGACTCTCCATAAAGTTGAAGCCTCTTCCTCCACCAATACATATACACTTTGAAGGAGCTAGGCTAGAGGATGAGCTGAAGTGGTGTAATGAGAAACAGCACAGTATAGCTGACATTGGTCCTGGAGAATTAGTGATAAGGTCCTGCCTCTGATACTTTCTACCTCCTAGATACTGGGCAAATCACCTAGTCCTCCTCAGTTTCCTCATCTGCAAAATAAGGGGATTAGACTAGATGGCTTCTTATGTCCCTTCCAGATCAACATCTAAATCTACGATCCCAGAAATTCAAGATCTAGAAAGGCAATTAAACTTTAGGAAAAATGAAAACAGTCAGGTCCCATTTATTCACAGGATACATGCCAGCAACTTTTAAGTCTTAGACATTAAAAACCCAATTCTGGAAAAGGAATTCTATAAGCTCTAAAGTGAGTACTGGATTTGTCATTATACTTCCCCAGTCAGATCCTGAAGTTTCATTAATATTCACCTTCTGGTGGCAGTAGGTAATTTTTTAGTACCACTGGTACTAGTAGGAGTTATTAATGTTAAACACCTGAACAGACCCTCCTTTCTCAGTGAGTTATTTTGCCAACAAAAAGGCAGAGGGACTCTAGTGGCTTCACTGGCCTCCACTCATTTTGCCACAGGACACAAATGATCATCATTTATCAAGAACTTCATTCCTTCCTCTGGAGTCATTAGTCAATGGCCTAGGAAGTAGGGAGGCTGCAAACATCAAGTGAATCCTTGAGCTGCTTCACAGAGGAATGATAAATAAGGGGGCTCTGTTTAGGCCTAGCTGGATGGAGAGCTGTGTTCAGTTCTGGCTGATCCAATTAATGAGAGATACAAGCCAGAAGGAATCTAGAGTAGGGTGAACAGCATAGGAAAGGTACTTCAAACCATGTGGTAGGATGATTAGATGAAATGAATGGAGATACTCAGCAAGAAGCAGAAATGTAAAAACTGTTTTCAAGTACTCAGAAGTCACATGGATAGCAGTGTGGTGTAGTGGCAAGAGCACTGGACTTGGAATCAGGAGCTGGTTCACTAAAGGCATTTAAACAAAGGAGCCAAGGGGTATGGCGGAAGATTTTCATCCACTGGTCAAGGGGTTGCACTACACAGCTTCCAAGTTGCTCTCTAACTCTAGGATTCTATGGGTATAGAAGATCATAAAAAAGGAAGCTCACATTTCTACATTAATATTAGATGAACAATATTTCTCATAGCAGCTCTGTGGGGCGGGTAGTGCAAATATTATCACTCCCATTTTGTGGAAAAGGAAATTCAGCCACAGAAAGGCTAAGAGACCTGCCCAGGATTCTGTCATTGACCACCCTTCAAGATTATCAGTAAGAGGGGGGCAGCGAGGTGGTGCAGCAGATAGAACACTGGCCCTGGAGTGAGGAGGACCTGAGTTCAAATATGGCCTCAGATACTTGCAAGCTATGTAACCCTGGGCAAGTCACTTAACCCTGATTTCCTCAAAAAAAAAAAAGATTATCATTAAGAGGAGCACAGTGTAAAACAAGAAATCAATGATTAACTTCAAGGACGTGACCTTGGGATGGAATGCCTCAGCTATGCTGGCAAACATCACTGAGACTGGCTGTGGGAAACAGGAACTTACAGGTGAGTCTGGGACATCCTCCTCCTGGGTGAAAGAGCTGTTGAAAGCTCTGAATGTCTCACTCTTCTGCTTGTGCTTTTCAATCGTGGTAAGAATGACCTGAAACCAAAAGACAACACTAAGATGCATTAAACTTGGTTCTCAAGAACAGCATTCAGTGCTGCAAGCCATTAAGCACTATGTAAAATGTAATTTGCTATTACCCTACAAAATGAGAAGGACAGATATCGTCACCTCAGGACAAAGAGGACTGTTTGCTCCAATTTTAATCACGATATGTACTCTGTGCTAGGAAATGTATATTGTTCCAGCTCAAAGTGAGAACATAATGCTCCTCTCTCAGTCTCCTCCTGGATCTGAGCTCTGTTGCAGGGGAGAATGCCAGCTACAGCCAATGGCTTGCGGACTCCTCCCTACCCTCTGACAGATCAGAGAATCTTAGGATCTAAGCCCCGATTTTATATTGGCCAAGCTCACACAGTTAGGAAGTGGCAGAGCCAGGGCTTAAATCTGGATCTCCTGATTCCCAGTCTGGTATTCCTTCTATGATTTTATGCTGCCTCTAAAGGCAGCACCATAATACAGTTAAAGAAAAGGACCTGTTGAATAAGTAGCAGAGATGGAATGATAAGTCAGTCTTTGCACTCCAAATCCATTCTTCCTTTTGTTATACTCTAATGCCTCTCGAATACAGACAGATGACATCTTGTGGGAACAGCTAACACAAGGGGGATAACTGGACTACTACTGTCTGTAGCCATACTCCTAGGGAAGGAACTTTGAAAGCAGGGAGTGTGTAAAGCTAAACTTCTTTTCTGTCCTGCTCCTACACAAGGGAAGACTTCTCTTTTCTCCCAACATAGAAATCTTTGGTCTTCCTTGATACATATCATATATGTAGCCTTGCTCTCTACAATCTAAGAAATGAAGTAGATGATATTTCCTTGTATTTTTAAGTAATCAAAATCAGGTAATCACAGTGATGCCATTGGCACTGAATAGATCCAGCTCATGGAATCAGAATCAGTTCTGTACTCTGCAGGGAATGTGTGTATACTATCCAGGCCTTTTGTTTTATAATCTCTCTCTCTCTCTAGTTCGTGTTCCTTTTGATTTTATTATAGCAGTCTTGTGGATCCTCTCAAAGATCCTATTTTCATAGACCCCAGGACCTGGGAAGACCATTAAGGGAGTATGTGATTTCGTTTCCTGCCTTTGTAAAGTCTATTAAGTTACTGTGGAAAGAGCAATGGAATCAACATCAGGAGACATGAGTTCTAGTCTTGGTTCCACCCCTAGCTGCCTGGGCAACAGTCTCACCTCTCTGAGCTTCTATTCCTTCCTCTATAAAATGGAAAGGTTGGGCCTACCTCAGGGTTTCTGTAGCTAAACCATCCTAGGCAGATGTTTCCTGTCCTAGTCTCAATACTTGTTAGGAACATAAAACAATGTCCCTGGGTGGTCTTCATTGTTTAATCATTCTCTCAAACAGATATTTTTTGTGTTTAGCCAAAACCATTTTGGTACAACTTAATCCCATTTCCTCTTATGGAGATAGAGATCAGCTGGTCAGTGTTCACCTTGTGCAGGTAATTACATTTAAAACCATTAATAAGCAAATTTCTGGAAGTTTTCCCAGAGAACATGATGTAGTGAACTAGTCAGGAGCAATCATTTATCTCTCACTACTCAATTCCCAGGGCTTGGGAGTCACTGCAAAACCTGGGCTGCCCAGTATTTATAGAAGCAATTCCACATGTCCTGCTCTGGCCCAAATCTCAAATGCCAGGAGTAAGATTAATTAGAGATGGAATAATTTTGATATAATTAAAGTTATATGAAGAGTGTAAAATATTAACCTCAATCCATTCCTTCTTTTCCTCCTCTGTCCTGTAAAAAAGAAAAAAAAGTATTTTGTTACTTCCTCTTTTGATATAAATTACAAATAACTATGCTGTTTTAGGGGCTTAATGTTTTTTTCTCATCAGGTAATTGATCTACCTCTCTTACCATTTGCCCTGTAAACAACTTTCTCACTAATGACATTTGAAAATAATTGCTAAAATAGATAATTGCTAGAACTTAGCATTACTTTGTAACTTAAGTTATTTCATGAATGCAAGTCTATGTTAGACTGTAAAATGCTCTGACTTTATCCTAATTGGAGTTTCCAACCTCAATTACATTCACTGTTTTTTATTGAGCTCAGTTGTTTTAAATTCAATACCAACAGGTTAAAAAAAAAAACAAAACTCACCACAACCCCATAATAAAGTTCTACATAATTTCAAAGAGGATTTCTGTAGCATAAAATATTGTAGAACAAACTCAGGCCATACCTTGTTTGCAAGTCCAGTGACCTCTTTTTTCCTGTTATTGTAAACGTATGTGCTGCATTTGGCTTGGCAATTTCCTGCACCTTAAAAAAAAAAACAACTCTGTCATTCTAACATGTCTTCTAACCACAGCCTTAATCTGCTAAAACTTAGAAAACTGTTGCTCAGAAGATAAGCCACATGAAAAATAATAGAACGGTAAGTCAGAAGTAAAGAGTAATTATTTTCTTTAACAAGGAATATGCTATTCCTATATATATATATATATATATATATATATATATATATATATATATGTATATATATATATATGTATATATATATATATGTATATATATATATATATGTATATATATATATGTATATATATATATACATATATATATATACATATACACACACACACATACATATATGTATATATATATATATATGTATATATATATATACATATATATATATATATACATATACATATACACACACACACACATACATATACATACATAAAATCAGATTATTCACTCTAATATTCATACACTCTCAAATTGACCATGACATCATCAATACAGGTATTCACTCTAGTGACAGAGATTGTAACCCAAGGCCTGATCATCCCATGTGGCTCTTAACCATGTTGGGAATCCACCCAAAGTGCTAGGTGGCTTCCTTAAGTTCTCTTGATATTGTATAAATACCAATGGTCCATGTTAACTGTCATGAATTATCTTGTACTTTCTCCACATGAACAGCCCATCTTCTTTTTTGTTCATATATTTCCTTTTTAAAAAAATTTGATTGATGCCCTATGTTCTCTTACATCACACTCGTTTCTTTCTTTCTTTCTTTCTTTCTTTCTTTCTTTCTTTCTTTCTTTCTTTCTTTCTTTCTTTCTTTCTTTCTTTCTTTCTTTCTGTTTTTGGCTAGGCAATGAGGTTAAGTGACTTCAGGGTCACACAGCTAGTAAGTGTCTGAGGCTGGATTTGAACTCAGGTCCTCCTGAATCCAGGGCTGGTGCTCTATCCACTGTGCCACCTAGCTGCCCCCCTCCCAGTTTGAGATGTCTGAAAGGCAATTAAAGATGCAAGATTGGAGGTCACCACAGAGATTGAAGACAGCAATATTTGAGGATCCAGCAAAGGAGACTAAGAAAGATGGTCAGATAAGTAGAACTCTCAGAGAGTGGGGTCCAAAAAACCTAAAGAGAAGAGTGCATCAAGGAGGAAAGGGTGATCAACAGTGTCAAAGGCTGCAGAGAAATTGAGGAGAATTGAGGATTGAGAAAAGGCTATTGGATTTTGCAACTAAAAGACCACTGGTAACTTTGGAAAGAGTGGTTTCAGTGGAATGATTAAGGTCAGAAACTACATTGTAAGGGATTAAGAAGAGAGTGAGAGGAGAGAGTGAAGGCACCTATCATAGAAAGCTTTCCAACAGTTTAGCCACAAAGGGTAGAAGAGAAATAGAATAATAGCAGGGATGGAAGGGTCAAGTGAGGGTTTATAAGGATGAGTATATTTGTAGGCAGTAGGGAATGAAAGGAGAGATTGAAAATGATCAATAGGTAAAGTGGGGTTTTTGGGGGGAGGGGTTCTAAGAGGGGGAATGAAGCCTATTCCTTTCCTTTCCAGACTAGTTTCATATTACTCTGTCTTAGACTCAGTTCTTTAGTTAAATTAGACCTAAATGCAACTCTCTAAACTCATTCCGCCTCCTTCTGTGCCTATGCCTGAGAAAACCTCTAACCACATCCCTATCTGCTGAAATCCTCTTTCTTTAAGAAACAGTTTCTCTGATCCACCCAGCTGAAAGTGACTTTCCTCCTCTCAAATTTTCCTAGAAAACTGTATCTGGATCTCTCGTTTTCCCCACTGTTGTCTACTTTGCATTATACTTATTATTGCTGACGTTTTATCCACTCTCCAGTAAATGGTGAGTTCTTTGAGAGCAGGGATGAATTGTGTAGTTGCTCTTCTTTGTATGTCTAGTGCCTCGTACAGTGCCTTGCACATAACAAGTGCTTAACAGAACTGGACTGCCTGGGGGATGACATGTGTAAACGTACAGCAGTGGGAAATGGCAAAATCAAAGTGGACTAATTCTGACTGAAGAGTCCCATACAACAAAGCTAAAAGGGTAGGCTGAAGCCAGATTCCCAAAGGCCTTGAACAAGAGGCTAAGGTGTTTGTCACCACTAGCCATCATCTGGAACAGCCAAGGGAACATTGTGAATGTGGGCAAATACATCCCCACATATCAAAATGAGTGGAATGTTCACTGGTCAGTTTGGGAAATGAGTACTGATGATTGAGGGCAGAAGGCACCAGCACTTCTACATTCAAATCTCACCTTGACTACATGAGTGACTTCGGGCAGGTCATTTAATTTCCTCCAGCCTCAGTTTCCTCATCTGTAAAATGAGGGTGTTGGACTAAATGATCTATGGGGTCCCTTCCCCCTCTAGGTTTATGATTCCATTATGCTTGTATTCTATTCAATAGGCGAGGGTGAACAATTGAAGGTCTGGGAGCTGGGAAGTGACACAAACAAATCTGAGCATTAAGAAAGTTACTTTTTGACAGCCAGCAGTGTGAAGAATGGAATGAAAGAAAGGATGGGAAAAGAGAAGCCAGTTTGGAGGATAATTTTGATTATATTAAATTTAAAAGGGTTTATACAAACAAAACCAATGCAACCAAGATTAGAAGGAAAGCAGAAAGCTGGGAAACAATTTTTGTGGTGTCCCTGATAAAAACCTCACTTCTCAACTATATAGAGAAATGGGTCAAATTTATAAAAATACAAGTCATTCCCCAACTGATAAATGATCAAAAGATATGAACAGACAGTATTCAGACAAAGAAATCAAAGCTATCTTTGGTCACATGAAAAAAAAAACGCTCTAAATCACTATCAACTAGAGAAACGTAAGTTAAAACAACTCTAAGGTACCACCTCATGCCTATCAGATTGGCTAATATGACAGAAAAGGAAAACGATAAATGTCGGAGGGGATACGAGAAAATTGGGACAATAGTGCACTATTGGTGGAGTTGTGAACTGATCCAACCATTCTGGAGAGTAATATGGAATTATGTCCAAAGGTCAATCAAACTGTGCACACCCTTTGATCCAGCAATACCACTACTAAGCCTGTATCCCAAAGAGATCTGAAAAAAAGGGAAAGAGACCTATTTGTACAAAAATATTTATAGCAGCTCTTTTTGTGGTGGCAAAAAACTGGAAATTGAGGGGAGGCCTATCAATTGCAGAATGGCTGAACAAGTTGTGGTCTATGATTGTGATGGAATACTATTGTGCTATAAGAAATGCCGAGCAGGCTGATTTCAGAAAAACCTGGGAAGACTTACACGAACTGATGCATAGTGAAGTGAACAGAACTAGGAGAACACTGTACACAGTAACAGCAACATTATATGATGATCGACTGAGAATGACTTAGCTATTCTCAGAAATACACTGTCCAAGACAAGTCCAAAAGACTCATGATGAAAAATACTATCTATGTCCAGAGAAATAACTGATGGAATCTGAATGCCGATCAAAGCATACTATCTTTCACTTTCTTCCTTTTATTTAGTTTTTTCTTTTGGTCTATTTCTTCTTTCACAACATGACTAATATGGAAATATACTTTATGTGATTATACATATATAACCTTTTATCAAATTGCTTACCATCTTAGGAAGCGGGAAGGGAGAGAATCTGGAACTCAAATTTTTAAAAAATAGAACGTTAAAAATTATCTTTACATGTAATTGGGAAAAAACAAAATACTATGAAAAAAAAGAATGGAGGCAACTAATGGAAGAAATACTTCAAAGTTAGAACTGGAATGATTTGGTAGCTCATTGGCTATGATGACAGGAGAGAGTAGGAGAGAAAGGGAAGAGTCAAAGATGGCTAAAGTTTGAGGCCTCTGTGACTGAGAGAATAGTGGCATCATTAATACAGCAGTAATGATAGAAGGGGTAGATTTGCTTTGAAGTTGAAAACTTTTGGGAGAAGATGAGTTCTGTTTTAAACACAGTGAATTTGAGGTGCAGGCAGAGCTTCCAGAAAGACATCCAGCAAGCAGGTGAAAATACAGGACTGAAGTTTAGAACAGAGTTTGGGGCTGGATATATAAAGTTGGATTTATCTGCATGGAGGTAATAATTAAAACTACCAGAATGAATAAGCTTATCAAGGGAGAGAGTGGAGAGCAAGAAGAGTGCTGAAAAGAGAATACCGGAGGATGCCTGCACTCATGGTCAGGAAATAGCAAATGAAGCAATGAAAGAAACATAGAAGAAGTAATTAGAAATGACAGAAAACCAGGAGAGAACAATGGCACAGAAGCCAAGTGAGGAAAGAATTTACATAGAAGGTTCAAAGGGTAAACTACTGCAAAGAGGTTAATGAAGACTGAAGAAAGACACTGCATCTGGTAATCAGGTAATCTGTGATCATTTAGATAGCATTTTCAGTAGCATGGTGGGGGGGGGGAAGGCAGAATACAAAGGGCTGAGGAATGAATGAATGGTGAGGGAATAGAGACAGCTAAGGTAAACTACTCTTTCTGGAAGCTGAGCAGTAAAGGAGCAGAGACAGATAGTGTGATAGCCTGAAGTTGGTATCAGGGTTATGGAAAAGCTTTGTTTTCATTTTTGTTTTTATGATGAAGAGACCCAAAGAATGATTGTAAGCAGCAAAGAAAGAATGAGTAGATGGTGAGATATTGAGGTTGGACAGGGCAGAGCAAGACACTAGGAGGCAAGAGTGGATAGGACAAAAGGCAAAGTTAGAACGCACGAGTCTTGGCAAGAAATAATGAAATCTCTCCTCTGAGACCAAGGAGAAGCAGGAGAAAAAAAGAAGACAAAAAGGCTTAGAGAAAGAAGTGGTACCAGAAGGAGGCCCCAGAAAAGAGATCATATGATCTCCAAGATCATCAAGTTCAACTCCTTGTATTTACAGGTGAAGAAACTGAAGCCTAGGGAGGTTATGCCTAAGGTCACCCAGGCTTTATTTAAACATCAGGGGATAGGATTTGAACTGAGGTTCTCTGACTCCAAAGTCAGTTCCACAGTACCATGTTGCCTTCCTTTTGAGGGAGATCATTTGGCCTTAAATTTTTCATTGAAGTAGGAGACAAGGTCACCTGCTGAGAAGAGGAGTGGAGATGAAGGCTTCAGGAGAAAGAAAAATATTTGGAACAGTTACTATGGGGAGTGTGAGAGGGAGTAAATCAAAGATAAACAAAAGAATTTTTGTACAGTACAAAATCTGCATGTGTACTGATCAGGTGATTTCCTCCAGCAATTTAGCACTAAGAGTAGACATATGGTGGTAATTGTCTAGGACTGGAAACTTAGAGTTGGCACAACTGGAAGTCAAGGGTTTGAAGGATTCAAGGGTGGTGAAGAAGGAACTGTTTAACTGCTGCCTTGCAATCTTATGCTTATTTGTATACTTATCTTATCCCTCTACTACTAGACAGTGAATGCTTTGAGAACAGGGAGGGTGCCTTAATCATTTTTCTACCTCAGCACCTAGCACAGCGCCCACTCATAGTAAATCCTAAATATTCGTTTATTGAGTAAATGGGGGTGAAATGGTTAATATAAACTCAGTTTTAAGATATCACACATTTTAACATTGTTTTGGAAGGCCAAAAGTGAAACATTAGATTCAAGTGAAGCAAATCATATTTGTTTTAATTGGAGCTATTCTTGAATTGGAACTATTCTATATACAGAAAGATAGAAGACTCGTCCTAATTATGAAAATATTTTTGTCTCTCTACTTAGGCAATAGTGTTTTCTTCTTGTATTTTGTCTTTAATCAATGTTACAGCAAAAAGCAAATAGTCATACAGACATCAATGACAACTTATTAATACCTAATGTTATAATCTCTTCTGATCCTTATGACTGAACATTTAAATATATCTCCATTTTCACAAAGTTGTGGTCAGTGCATGCAAAATACTTTGTTTTCCCTCTGCATTATTTAGTATAGATTTCTACATATTTCTGTAGTCTCTACACACTTGTCACTCTTACTAGGTCAATATGGTCATCATGGCATTAATGGCCACAGTCTGGTCTGCTCTTCTCCAGTTGTTGGGCATCTGGATGTGCTTCCTTTTTCACAGTTACAGTCAAGACCACTATAAACATCTTTGCACAAAAAGATCTAGTTTTCTTTTTTATTATTTTCCTGAAGTGGTTGAAGGTGGCCTATTCCAACAGAAGGAATTATTCTGTCACGGAATACAACCAGTTTTATAACTTGCTGGTCATATTACTCTCTGAAAAGATCACACTAATCTGCATTTCCAGTTTAGCAAATATAACGTAGTACCATGTGGTTGTTTCAGTGTGTATTTCTTTAATTGTTAGTGAGTCTAAACATCTTTCAAGTGTCTATTTTCTACTGCACTTTTTTTTAACCAACCATCTGTTCTTCTTTGACCACTCTTAGTCACTATCATCAATGATGTTACTTATCATAGAATTACAGAGCATTATAGTCAGAAGAAGCATTGGGAGGTCATTTGGTCCCTCCTGCTTGAGGCAAGAGCATGCCCAAGTCAAGCTAAGCTTCTCATTCGACATCGTAAAGAATTGCAGAAAAGGAGATTCCATAAACTCTTAGTAACTCAATTCTGGAAACTAACAATACCTACACTGTTGGGAAATTAGAAACTAATTCTCCTCTCTTACTATGGCTGTTTTTAACATGAGGGCAAATACAATGTAGAACATTCATCTTGAGGATGTTTGAGCATAAAGAAGAGAGAAATAGGGAAAGAAAATAAATCAATCTGGACCCACTATTAGGACAAATTACTTTAAAGCAGGGCAGGATGAAGTGGCTATTTGATTGTGAGTCCATGATATTGATGTTATATTAATATTATTATATTATTACATTGTATTATTATTAACCCTCTAAATACTCTCTACCTTCCAATCTGAAACCTCCTGAAACAAACACACAACGGAAGAGAGTAGCTTCTTTATCTTTTAGTTTGCATTTGTTTTGAAAATGAAGTTGCATCTCCGATGTTTGGCTGCTGTGCTAGGCTGTGTAGACAACAGATCAGCTCAGGTGAAGCACTCCAAGTTTCAAAACTTAAAGAAAATGTCCATTTCAGATTCCCTTTCTTCTAGCTAATTCTGGTGCCCACCATAAAACAGGTGTTGCTTCTCACAAATGACAAGGGACAAACAGATAAAACAAAGGGCCACAAACCTGCAAGCCAGCTATGTCCATCTTCTCACGAACGCTGAACTTCTGACCTATGAGTCTCAGTTTGGGCACACAATATAACAGCATACTATTAAACTGAAAAAGAAAGATGGATGCAAAGATTAGGAAATGCAGATTATACAAGAGCCTAAGAATTGGAAGGGAATTAGGGATTATTGAATCTAATCTCATTGTACAGATACATAAACTGAGGCCCAGTGAAATGAAGTGACTTCCCAAGGTCACAAAGACAATTAATGGAAGAGCAAGAACTACACCATTAAATGTCCTGATTCCCAGTTTACCATGCTGTTAGACTATGCTATCTCATATCAGAAAGAGCACTGGATTTGGAGTCAGCAAAGTCTTGGATTCAGATCCCATATCTGATCCTTACTGTGTGACTACAGGTAAGTTATTAATTTATTTGAACTTTATTTCATCCTCATCTATAAAATGGTAACAGCCCCTGTAGTACTTACCTCACACAGTTGTGGGCATCAAATGACATAAGAGATATCAAGTGCTGAGTACGTCTTAAAGCACTCTCTCAGTGTCAGCTATTTATTCCTTACAGGATAAAGCAGCCCTTAAATTAGTGAAGTTTTAAAGAGAAGTATTCAATAAGAAGGGTTCTGTACAGAGAATGCATGTGCACTTAGAACAGTAACAGAACGTGTGCAGAGGACCGTAGAGGGCAGGAAGAGTAAATGTTTAGGAAGTGAGAGGAGCAAAAGAAAAGGACTCCAAGGTGAGTTTGTGTAGATTACAGAAGGACAACTTCAAAGTGTGGATACTAAAAGTCCTCTCAGAATGAAATCAACAGTATGTGGTAATCGTTTTCAAATGAAAAATCAACACAGATACTCCTTTAAAAGAAGAAGCAATAATAAGAGAATAGAGATGGGACTAGACCTGTGATTTCATTGGTATAGGGAACTCCCTGGTGAGGAAACTCTCTCTACCAATGTAGGGTGGCACCTTCTTTACCACTTATAGGTTAAAGAGTTGCCTAGAGAATAGAGAGGTTAGGTGATTTTCCCAAATCTTTCACAGCCAGTAGGTGTCAGACCTTGAGCCCAGGTCTTCCTACTTCCCAAAAGTTCTAGTTCTCTATCCACTACACCACACTGCCTAGAACACTTTTACAAAGCATGTCCTCAGACTAACTAAATGAGGGCAGGAAACAGAAGCTCAGAGAAGGGGAGTGATTTTCACAAGGTCAGTCATGGGGCTAGCAAATAACAACTAGTCCTTGAACCTAGCTCATCCAGCTTCAAGGCCAGGGCTCTTGCTACCACACAGCTTCCCGTGCATATAAATCTAAGCCCTTGCCTTGGAAAGTACTAACTATATGTGAACTACTGTTATTATTCTAAAGGAAATGGTGGCCAGAGAATTAGAATTTAGAATAATTAAAGAAGTATGTGTTTTGATGGCTGAGGGGAGAGGGGAAGGGGTCATAGAAAAGGAAAGGGAAACCATTTAAAATGTTAACAAAGAAATTGAAGTAGCTAGAGTCTAAATGGATACCAGGAAAAGAAGGATGGATCAAAGCTTCTCCTTCAATTCCTCTGTAAAGCCCAGAAACAAGGACCATGTCTCATGTGGCAGAGGTGTGAAAAGAGACTGTAGTATGAGCAGAAGCCTTCCGCCCTCCTGGGAAAGGCAGCCTCTGCTGAGCTAGCAGGTCCAAGGCCCACAAAATTCGAAGCATCACTGGCGGGGGGGGGGGGGGGGGGAAGGAGGGAGAAGATCAGCTTTGTAATTCCTTTGATGCTGGAGAGCTCCTGGCGAGGAACTCCCTCTACAGATGCAGATCAGCCTCTCCTGTGCAACTTGGAGTCATAGAGTTGCCTGAGACAATGAGAGGTCCAGTGACTTGTCCAGGGTCACAGAGCTAGGATGTGTCAGACAGTGCTTGAAACCAGGTCTCTCTGACTCTGAGGTCAGTTCTCTACAGATTTCTCCATAATGTCCCTAAAGGCATAACTAGCACAGGACGAAGAGGGCTTTGCTCAAGGGCACAAACATGGGGACTAATGCAATAATCTGCTAGATATGTTTTCCTCTCTCCACTTCCAGTTTGTTTCACATGGCTAATGTGATACACTGTGCTTATGCATACATCTAGTTAAGTTTCTCCTTTGCTAAAACATCAAGTGTTATCTTATAATCTTTTGAATAAAATTCAAACTCTTTTACCTGTTAATCGAGACCCTATAAAATATGGTACTATGCTAACTTTCTAGACTTACATTACGTTCTATCATGCATTCTAAGAGCCTATCGGGCTACTTTCTCTTCTTTGAGCACATCCTGGGGTGGCACGTTTATTCTCTGGAAGGGGGATGGGTGACAACTGCCCTCCACATCCCCATATTTTGCTTCACAGTCCTCCAGTGGTACTTAATACAACCTACCCAGAGCTACCACCTTAAGCCACAACCCCTGTGGTGATGAGGGCTGAATTTCCTGGGAACTGGGCTGCCTGCAAGCATAACAGGACACCATTGGTTGGGTTGTCCTCTGTGCTGCCACCATCTCCCACACAGGGATGGGTGTCATGGCTGTACGTGGAATACTGACTGAGGAGAGCAGATTGAAGATCAGGTTTACAACTCACCAGAAACAAGTACCTATCTTGAGCAGTGCCATTCTTTGCAGATAGCTTCTGAATATGGCCTTCTTTAATAAGTTCATTTGCAGGATTAACAATATCTTCTTCTCCTCCTAAACGTTCATACACCTCCAAGAGCTTGTGCATCTTTTCCTGAAAGAAAAGCAAAACTGAGCTGGAGGCAAGATAGGAAAAGAAAAGAGTTTTTCTCCTTGTCTGCTGTGGGCCAAGCACATCTGGAAAATTTGGAACATTTGAGAACAGCAGATCAGGAAGCAACACTGAACCATACAGTCCCTGAAAGACAGATATGAAAGGGACTTTAGAGACTACCTAGCCCAAGACCTTTATCTGACCAAAGGGGAAACTGAGGACCATTTTTATGACCTTAGGGATATCCTGGACCATTCCTTCTCTCTCACCTCCCACATGCAATCAGTTATAAAGCCTTGTCAATTCTACAAAATCTCTCATATCGGCCCCTTCCTCTCCATTCCCACTGCTATCACCCTAGTACAGGCCTTCATTACCAGAATCTTGAACTACTGCAACAGCCTCCTAAACAAGTCTTCCTTCCTCCACTTTCTACTTCTTCCAATCCATCTTTCACATAGCTGCCAGGCTAATTTTTTCTATGCCTAGATCTTGTTATGTTGCTCTCTTTAAAAAAGTATTCAGTGATGCCCTACAATCTTCCAAGTAAACTTTAAACCCCTTTGCCTGACATCCAAGGCCCTCCACAATATGGTTTCATACTACCTTTCTAGCCTTATTTCCTATTATGCCCCACCACTCATACCATGCTCCAAACTGGACTATAATTTTTCAATTCTGAACACCACACTGCACTCTCCTGGCTCATGATGTTATCTATGCCTGGCATATCCTCCCTGCTCGCCTTCACTTGTTTAATCCCTACCTGTTCTAAACGGCTCAATTCAAATGCCACCTTTTCCTGGAAGTCCTCCCCGATCCTACTGGGACGGGAACCCTCCCCTTTTACAGAACATTTTGCAGTTCTCAAAAATATTTAACTTGTATCCTTGTATATTAAAGTTATCTACATCATGTCTCAGCTTTCATAAGACTGTAGTCTTAATGAATAACTTTGCTCTGTATACAGGAAGTAATTAATAAATATTTGTTCAATAAATGAATGAATGCAAAACATACTTCTTGACATGGAAGTCATTCAATTAGCACCTTCCTCCCTGCTCCCCCACCGCCGCCCAGCTTCAAATAACTTCTGAAAAAAAATCAGTAATCCCAGTTCTTCCCTTCTAGCTTTAGAATGCACAGCAGCACATTCTCTTTATTAAAATAACTGGGCAAAGGAAAACCTTCTTCTGCATCCCATGTCACTTCTGGCAGAACAATCACAGACTACAGGGAATCCACAACTGTTTGGTGGGGGGACACCAAGAAGCATTCCTTTGACTAATCAGCCCCCAGTTCATACAAGAGTACTCTCCTGCCAGATCAGTAACCAGGGATATATCCAAACAAGTCTATGTTCGGGTTTGTCCCTTTCAACTGTGCCATGAGTGGAAGCAGTTTACGGACATATATTCCCTGACCAGCAAAGCCTTCCCCTATGGGAAGCTACATAGTGTGTAGCAGTTAAGAGCACTAGAACTGGAATGAAAGAACCTGTGTTCAGTTCAGTTTGATATTTGTGTGACCTTGGTCGCTTGCTTTCCCTGGACCTCATTTTACTCAATAGTAATAGAAATTGGATTAAGATTATTTTTAAAGCTACCCTCTACTTCTAAATCTCATGATCCTGTGGGCTCCATGTACAGCCTTCTCTATTACTTATCTGTCGGCAATCAAATTCTTTCTAAAACAAGACACAGTATTTGACTCTTCAACATTCAGGTCCTTCCTCGCTGACCAGAAGCTGAGATGTACAGATTAAGCTTAGTTCACTTGTCAGTTTATCACATGTATAAGTGGCAAATACCACTGAATTTACAAGAACCTTTTCAATGGGTTGATATGGCCTGGGGCTTGTCCATCAAGAGGAAGTATTTGTTTTCAGGAAGTCACTGATCATCACTTAGTGACAGCTTCTCTAGGCTGAGTACACCGGCTAAAAAGTCATGTTTTCTAGACAGCAAACATATTCAGCTAGAAACCTACCTCAGTGACATGTACCAAATGTGAGAGCGAGAAACAGAAGATAATCCCAAGTCTCAAAGGGTCTCTGACTAACAGCTAATGTGACCCTGAATGACATGAGGCAAAAGGAAGTGTCACAAATGGGCAACTTCAGCCCACATTCAGAGAGATGATGTAAAACCATCCCACTAGTTGAGCTATTTCTAGTACTCAGTGTTAGGTAAGGCTCTGATCCAATGCCTTTAATTGTTAATCTGTACTATCTCTGTTCTACAGCTGGCCTGGGTTTTGGTGGAACCCATTTATGTCTTGTGAGGAAGACAGGCAAGCCCTATGTGATTCCTTGGAAAGCCACTCCTGTAATCTTATTTTAAAATCCAATCCCCTTGAATTCCATGTTTTATGTTAAAATCTTACCCCTTATTCCTGTTTCAGTCAGATTCATGCATCCTTTCTCCCTTAAGACAGAGATAAATTCTCATAAATTCAAAGAGTTGGAGAAGACCTTAAAGATCATCTCGTACCTAAACTAGAATCCCTCTACAACTTCCCCAGTCAATAATCATCTTTGCTTGAGGCCTCTAGGGAGGGGAAATCCATAGCCTACCAAGGTGGACCATTCCATTTTTAGACAGCTACAATGGTTAGAAAGTTGCTTATTATACCAAACCTAAATATGCCTTCTAATTTGCATTCATTGCTCCTAATTCTCCCCTTCAGAGCCAGAGAATAAATCTAATCCCTCTCCAATATAACAGTACTTTAAATATTTTATGATAATCATCATGTTCTCCCTATCATGTTCCTCTTTTATGGGTCACATGAGATTAGAGCAGATAATGTATGCGTAGTGTTTTACAAATCTTGAAGAACTATATAAATGTTAGCTATTGCCTTTTTCTTTTTGTTTTGCAAACTTTTTTCAAATTAATCTGTCCCATCCACTAACCCCCTCTCCATTAAGCAGTCTTAAAAAAATCTCTCAATACATATCTACATAATCCAGCAAAACAAATTCCAGTATGAGCGATGTCCAAAAACGTGTATCTCTTTCTGTATTTTAAGTTCACCTTCTTTTTCAGGAGGTGAGTGTATCTTCATTTTTTTGGACTCATGGTTTGTCACTGCATTGATCAGAGCTCTAAAATATTTCCAAAAAATGTTTCTCTATAATGTCATCATTACAGAAATTGTTTCCTAGTTCTGCTTACTTTGCTCTGCATCAGTTCATGAAGATCTTCCAAGTTTCCTCTGAAACTGCCCATTTCATCATTTCTTATGACACAATAATATACCATAACTTGTTTAGCCATTTCCCAATTGGAGGGCAACACCTTGGTTTCAAAGTTTTGGCTACCATGAAAAGAGGCCCTTGTTTCTCTACATCAAGCTTAATTGTGCCTCTTTGAACTTCCACCCCTTATTCTTTGTTCTGCCCTTTGGGGCCAGGCAGAACAATTCCAATCACTCTTCCATATGACAGCTCTTTAGATACTTCAAGACAATGATTACAGCCATCCCTCCAACCTCTCTGACCATGCCTTCTCTCCAAGTTAAATATCCCCAATTCCTATGAAGAGAAAACAAATTTACAAAAAGAAAGATAAATGTTCTCTTGCCATATGTACAGTAGATAAAGATATTTGACTTGGGAATTCTCAATGCCTACAACATAGTGAGTGAGCATTCACTGAACACAGACTTACTGAAGTGACCTGAAAGAGTCCTAGACTTCATGTCAGAAGATCTAGGCCTTTGACAGTTAATAGTCACGTGAACTTGAGTAAATATCTGGCTTCCCTGTGCCTCAGGATACTTTTCTGTAAGATAATTATACTGAATAAACTGGGAACTCCTTGAAAGTGAGGATTGTCTCATTTTTTGTGTTGGTATTCCTAGTACTGTGTGTCTTCAATGGGTGGCACATACTTGTACTCAGCCAATAATGGAATTCTCATTTACTTATATTGTCCTGAGTATTACATTTATCTGAATGTATGCCTAATTTCCCATACTAGTTTATAAACTATTTGTGAGCAGTGATAGGGTCTTATTCAGTGGATGGAGCACTGGGCCTCGAATCAAGAAGTCCTGAGTTCAAATGCAGTCTTACACACTTACTAGCAAGTTACTTAACCACCATTTGCCTCAGTTTCCTCATCTGTAATATAGGAGTAATAATGGCACCTACCTTCTATGGTTGCTGTGAGGATCAAATGAGATAATAATTAGAAAGCACCTAACACAGTGCCTGGCACATAATTGGCACCATATTCATTCATTTATTCAACAAACATTTATTAAGTGCTTATGTGCCAGGCATCAGGCAATGAACCTAGCAGACACTTCATATACGCTCCCTGAGTAAATTAGCTGATCTGATTGAAAATAATAAGAAAAAAGGTATCCTGATGCTCAATTTTCAAAAAGAAAAAAAAAGATGATTTGGGCAATAATAGACCAATATGATCTATGTTGGTTTATAGTTGATTTTACAGCATATGTGGCACCAATTATTCAGTTTGTGAGCATTTGAAAAAGGGCATAGTGATCAGCACAAGTCAGCATGGGTCCACTGGAAACATCATAGAAACTGATCTGGTTTCCTTTTAGGTAAAAACTTACTAGAACAGTAATAGATCAAGGGTAGCTGTCAAAATAACGTATGTTTATTGTAGTTTAGCATTTGACAGTATCTTCCATATAATCCTTATGGGATGTCAGTAGAATTTGTGGTGCTTGAACGTTATTTGGAGCGTTTAGAGTTTTATTAAGAATATCAGAGAAGCCAAACACTTCTGGATAATATACAAATCATAAGTAAAAAATCCACTACTTTAGAGTCAAATGGGCTCCTTGTGATGAGAGCTCCATCATTTTACCCAATACTGACTCTCTTTAAATGATATATGAAAGAGTGTTAATCTTGGGCTTTAGTTTCCTCATCTAAAAATAAGGTACTGAACTAGCTGGCCTTGGAGGTCTCTTTCATCTCCAGATCTACACAAACTTTTGATCAAGGATTAGCTAGGAATAAATAAATCTACATCTCCTGTCTGGAACGTAAATATTTTTTTTTGTCCTTTGTTTCAATTTTATCAGTCTTTTATTTTTATAAGACTTTTATTTCTGAATACATCCCCTCACTCAGCAAGCCTTCCTTTACCACAAAAGTTAAAGAAAAAGAAGAAAAAACAGTACAGCAAAACCAACATGTTCACATCTGTCTTGTCGGGAACTTTAGATGAGCTGTAACATTCCAATTCACCCTCTGCTCTCTCACATTCATTCCCTTGGTCAACTCCTCCTCTATATACACTGGCTCAGGATCTCCTGGAGCCAGCTCTTTATCAAATTAGCTTAAATTGTGTTTGTCACCTGTAAAAAACACTTGTAGACATTTTACTTTTGAATAGTAAATGTATCCAGAATTTTAACAATAAAGTATAAATGATAGTAAGTAATAGTAATAGACCTCCAGAAAGTAGTAATCCTCCTGTCTTTTGCCCAGGTCACATGCCATCTGAAGCACCTCCTCCTCATATCTACCTTCTGGCTTCCTTCAAGTCTTAGCTAAAATCTCAACTTCTGCAAGAAACCTTTCCAGGTCCCTTCATCTTATGGCTTCCCTTGCAGATTTTCCAATTTGTCATTTAAGATGCAGCTCAGGGACCACATTGTGCTTGAAGCCCTTCTTGATCCCTCCAGCTGCTAGTGTCCTCCTTCCCAAGACACTATGCATACAGTTGTATTTATTAACTTAATAATTATGCTGCATAGATATTTTATATGTACTTTAGTTTCCCCCATTAGTATATAAGCTTCCTGGGAGCAGAAATTGTTTCATTCCTTGTCACTGTATCCACAGTGCCTAGCACGTGGTAAATGCTTAATACAGACTTATTGATTGATCTTTTTTTTTTTTGGCCATTATTTAGTCAATGTGCACACATTTTATTTCTAGTTCTTTTTTTACCCCAAAGAATGCTGATATGAATATTTTGTCTTTGAATTCCTTAGGGCAATATTCAAGTATATAAGATAAAGCATCATGGGGCAGTGGAGAGTTGGCCTCAAAGCCAGGAAGATCTAGGTTCAAGCCCTGCCTCTGACACATATTGACTATGTATCACTTAACCTCTCAGAACTTTAGGCAGCTTTATAAATCTATCAGCTGAAGAGAAGATGCCACCCTGTACTGGCAAGATGAGTTTCTTCACTCAGAAGTTCCCTACACCAATGAAATCACAGCTCCAGCCCCTCTATACCAAGGGTGGACCCACTGGATCAAAAGTGGGTCAACTGAGACCCACAGCTTACTCATTTTATTTGCAGAACTCCAAAATGACATGCAGAATGGCTGGCCCCATTTACAATTCCACTAATAATGTGTTATTTTATTTGTCCTCCTGGTACCCTTCCAATATTGACTATTCCTAGGTTTTGCTATCTGCCAATTTGCACGATGTGAGTAGTCTTTTTCTTAGTCCTCAAGAGTATGTCCTTAGCCCTTCCTTTCTCTCTCTATATATTTGCCTTTGGTAATCTCATCTATTTTCATGGCTTCATTCACTTCTACACACAAGTCTATGTATTCTTCCTCTAAGGACTTTACATTCATTTTTATAAGCATGACTCCTAAGTTGACACCTTTAGCCTTGACTTCTCCCCTGAGCTCCATTCTTGTATAATAATAATAATAGGATTTATCTAGTGTTTTAATGTCTGAAAGCACTTTACACAAGTTATTTAATTTGATCTTCACAACAACCCTGTGAAACAGGTGTTATTATTATCTCCATTTTAAAGATGAAGAAACTGAAGCTGAGAGCGATTAATTTAGTTGTCCAGAATCACACTGCTGGTAAATATTCTATTTCCAGCTGTCTGTTACCAGCACTTCAAAACTCAATGTCAAAAACTGAACTCGCTTTCCCCCTAAACCTGTACCTTAAATCTTCCCAACTTCCCTGTTTCTGCTTATGGGACTACCAATATTACACACTTCAGGGTATGCAACCTAAGAGCAAACTCTGACTCTTCTCTGTCATTCTAGACGTCCAATTAGTCACCACATTCCATTGATTCTATCTCCCCAATATCACTTATACCTTCCTTTACACTCCTGTTGTAACTACTGTGATTCAGGTCCAATTACTTTTGCCTGCTCTATTGTAATTACATCTTAACTGGTCTCCCTACCTCTAGTACTTCCCCACCTCAATCTATGAATCCTCCAAGATTAACCTTTTTAATGTACAGACTTGACATTCCTACCTAAAGCATTCTCATTTTCAGTCATGCCCAACTCTTGATGATCTTATTTGGGGTTTTCTTGGCAAAGATACTGAAGTAGTTTGCCATTTCCTTTTATAGCTCATTTTATAGATGAGGAAACTGAGGCAAAGAGGATTAAGTGATTTGCCTAAGCTTACACAGCTAGTGTCTGAGGTCAGATATGAACTCAAGAAGATAAGACTTCTGACTCTAGGCCCAGCACTCTATTCATGGTGCCACATCGCTACCTTCCCTATTGCTTAATAAAACATAAAGTTTTATTCATATGAAATTCAACTCAATGCAAAAAATATTCATAATCACCTAATCTTGTGTAACATACATTAAGACAATGGGGAGAAGGGTACAAAGACAGAAAAAAAACAGTTCTTGCCCACAAAGAGATTTCATTATACTGACGGCACTCACCAAATCACGCAAAGAAGTAGATACAAAGTATGTACAAAGTAATTAAGAGCAAAGAGGGCTTAATAACGGTGTCTGGGGATGAAAAGAGAGCAGAAAAGGCCTGAGGTTTATCTTGAAATTCCAAGAAGTGGCGGTAAGAAGGGAACACATTATAAGAAAGTCCTGGATAATAGAAAAAGAATTTCCCAAAGAAGGTTCACATGAGGGCTGGCTCTTCTATGCTGAGTAGGCCATGAACACTGCGTACTTACCATCTTTCGAATAGCTGCATTTGAGTGATTTGCTGCTGTGGAGATGAGCTCCAAGGATTCTGCAATTAAAGGGACATCATTAAAATAGCAGCATCAGACATTTATTAAGCATCTACTTTGTGCAGAGTATTGCACTAACCACTTAGATCTGAGGCCCAATTCCTGCCCTTAGAGAGCTTGAAGTCTACTTTTGTTGCTAATAATTTTCTATGGCCATAGCGATTTCTCAGAGTATATTCTCTTACTGGAGAAAATTCTGCTCTGCCTAACTTTCTCTGGTTTACAGGAAATTCATTTGAGTAATAAAATAGTGTGTGGTTTGTCTTTTTTTTTTTTTAAGCTATCTGACTTAAACATCCCCAGTTCCTTCATCTGATCCTCATGGACTCAATCCCTTCACCACCCTGGCTGCACTCCTATGGATGCTCTCTTTCTTGTCTCTGTCATTTCTAAACCCTGGTGTCCAGACCAAAACACCATAACCCAAATGTCATCTGATCGAGGAAGGTAGAGTCAGGAACTATTATCTCCTTATTCATGGAAGCTGTGCCTCTCTTAATGTAGTCTAATACTGCATTAGCTTCTTTTTAATTGCCACATCACACTGTTAACTCACATTAAGCTTTCAGTCCACTAAAACCCTCACTTTTTTTCCCCCAGATAAACTGCAGACTAGCTATCCCTACCCTCTATCTTGCACTTGCAAAGTCATTTTTTTCAGCTAGGCAATGGGGTTAAGTGACTTGCCCAGGGTCACACAGCTAGCGTTATGTGTCTGAAGTCACATTTGAACTCAGGTCCTCCTGAATCCAGGGCCGGTGCTCTAGCCACTGTGCCACCTAGCTGCCCCCAAAATCAATTTTTTAACCCAATTATAAGACTTTACATTTATTACTATCAAATTCTACAGCGAGAGATCCAGCCCAATGTCCTAGCCTCACAAGATCATTTAGGATTCTGTTTTTGTATTCCAAAGTACTAGCAATTCCTTGAAGTTTTGCGTTCTCTTTAAATAGCATAAGCATACTTTCTATTGGCTTCTTCCAAATCACCAATAACAATGTTAGACAGCACAGGACCAAGCACAGGTCCCTGGGGGCACTTCACTGGAGACTTCCTTCCAAGGTGACACAGAACCATTAATAAGCACTTTTTGAGTCTACTCATTTGATCATTCTAAATCCACCTGATAGTGCTATCATCTATCCTGCATTTTTCTTACTCTTCCACAATAGCACAAAAGACTACTAAATGCTTTGTTAAGATGTAGGTAAACCACAGCTAAACATTCCCCTGAATAGGAGTTTAGCAATTCTGTCAAAAAACAAAATATTTCCTGAGGACCCACTATGCAATACACAAAAGAGAGATTCTTGCTTCATTTACAAAGCTCTGTCTCAGTGCAGGGAGGGGCAAACTATTTAGGGTTAACAACTACCTCTCCACATTCCTCCAAAGCTTTGATGAATCTGGCCCTGGAACAAACAGGTTTTTCTGTATCAGTCCTCCTCACTAAGGGGTATCTCCCCCAAAGGAATCCTCCCTTTTAACAAAGTATAGTTAAATTTTTAAAAACTGACATACTGTTTCTGGCAGTATATTCCTCATTCTGCACCTCCAGTCCACCAGCTCTCTAGCAAGAGGTGTATTTCATTGCCAGTTTCATCACTATTCTGGAGTCAAGAATGGTCACTGCATTATTGATCTGGGTTCTTGCTAGTCTATTAATATACTACTGTCCTCATATGGATATCCCAACATGGTCTTTACTCTGAGTTTTGTTTCAATGATCCATTTCCCAGTCATCTCTCTTCTTTCCTGCCCCCTCCAACTTCAACCAGATCATCTCTAGAACTACCTCCTTCATTATTTCTGTAATCTGGTTCAGGCCAATTGCATTAATGATGATGATGATGGTAGCAGACATTTATAAAGTGATTTAGCTACATTATCTCATTTGGGTTACTCAATAACCCTATGAGATAGGTGTTTTTATTATCCCCATTTTACAGGGGAGGAAAATAAGACTCAGGTAAATTAATTTTCCTAGCTGGGTAGGCCACAGGTCTTCCTGACTCCCAAGTCTAGTGCTCTATCCACTATACCATATATATATATATATATATATATATATATATATATATATATATATATATATATATATATATGGTATGTGTGTGTGTATGCATATAGATATATATATGTGTGTGTGTGTATATATATGTGTATACACACACACACACATATATACATGGTATAGTAGATAGAGCACTAGACTTGAGAGTCAAGCTGTAACAATGGAAGGGAGAAGGAAGCCTAGGGGAAGGACAAGATACACAGGAGAAATCTTTATTAATAGAAGACAGCTAAACCACTCCAACAAAGGCTGTGAATGACTTTCCCAGGGGGAAACCACATGTCTAAAGCCATATGGGACTTTCCTTGGGGAAGATCAACCCTAAACACTGGCATTTTTACTCTGAAGTTGAAAGGGGTGCTTGAGAACAGTATGCTCTGGTCTCCTGTCCCCATTATTCTAGCTCCCCAAAAGGCTAACATTGCTTGTCTGCCAAGGTTCTTAAAGTGTGTCTGAAAGACATTTGGAATCCTTCTAATGTTTAGTTGATTTCAGCAAAGTTCCCTTTCCCTAGCAGCTTTGTAAAGCATTCCCTTCCTCCTTTCCTTTGCCCCCAAAAGGATACTGTTTGTCCCTGTCACTCAGCAACTGGAATGTATCTTACTTTCTGCATCTTTTCTGTCTGGAGACTCTGCAGGAAGTTTCTTCAAATAATCCTTGAGCAACATCTCATAGCGAGGGATTCTCTGTACTGGCTCTAGCATGTGATGCTGTAATGTCAGGTTCCCACAAACCTCCTGCTTCTGTTGGCACAAAATTCAGAAATATACAAAGTTAGACTCAGCTAGGAAGAGTAACCAACCAACAGAAATTAAAGCAATCACACCAATATACCCTGATATCTGGACTGCCCTTGGCCCTCAAACGACTAATACAATGGCATTCTTTCAGGGGGAAAAATAGATTAAATGAAGATCACCATGGTCCCTCTAATTCTTATCAATGCTATGTTAAATAGTTTCCACCTTTATTGTGCAATTAAGACTGGATCCTTTCCTTCCTGTGCTCAGAAAAGTGCAGATATTTTCAATTATTCCTACGCTACGTTAACTCCTAAATTCTGGTCATGATAAAAAAAAATCCAATCCCTTATTTGCATGGTTATTACTGTGAATAAAGAAAATGGGTAACTATAAGTCGGTAACAGGATCTTTATAGCTTCAAGGAACCTTAGAAATCATTGAAGTCCACTCTCCCTTAACTTAAAAATTTGTAAACTAAGGCATAGAGAAGGTAATTGATTTGCCCCAGGTCACATAGCTAGGAAGGGCAGAACTAGGACCCAGATCATTTGACTTCCAGCTGGGTAAATTCACTACCACCCAAACAGTGACTTCAGGTATCAGACTTCCTCTCTCTGACCCCTGCCATACTAACCAGTTTGGATTTGTGGAAAAGACAGCTTAGTTAAAAACCTGGAATAATCACATTTACTCTGATCTACTTTATCTTCTTTCCATCACTTTGAGAAACGGAGTAAAATTAGCCAATCACTAACTTTGCAGGAACTTAGTCTCCTACATTCACATGCTAAACCAGCAAATCACAATCTGGGTTCAAACAGAGGCTGCTAAAATGCTGGTCCTAAAGGATGAGCTGAAAATCTCAAATGCCAAAGTTGGGGCAATAGTGCTCTGTTGGTGGGCTGCTGCACTGCTGGCTCTGTGTCCTAAGCAGCCTAGGATTTCCTATCCCCACCACAGGGGAGCAGAGACATACTGACTTGAACTATTTTCCAGAGTTATTGCATAACAGAAACACTGTTTACCTGGAAAATCACTAGCCACTATGTTGTGTAGTGAGCCATATTTCTGCTGTGCTGCCTTTGAGTAATCTATTATTTCTAAGTGTTTTATAAACCAAGGCTTTCCCAGATTGTGGAAATACTTTAACTGGAAAGAGGAATGAAAATTCCAGAAACAGAAAGGATACATGAAGTTTTCTATTTATGGGAAAAAGTCATTTAGGATAAAAGGACATAAAATGCCAAGAGCTACCCACTTCATGGGAAGTTTAGATAGTGGCTCTAACATTTCTGCTGGGGTTTGGGGGTGGGGTCCAAAGGATCACAAAGTTTTTGCCCCAGCTCTGTATTTCCTCTCTCTGATCCCTGTCATACTAACCAGTTTGAGTTTATAGAAAAGATACATTATATTGATGAAAAAATCTGGAACAATCACATTTACTCTGATCTGCTTTATATTCTTCCCATCATATTGGGAAATGGAGAAAAATTAGTCAATTGCTAAGTTAGTGGCAACTTTGACTTGTAGTTTTGTTTTTAAAGATACAATTGTAGCCATACATATAAAGCTCTAAAAAAATTAAAAAAGGTGTCTTGTTACTTTAACAAAACCAGCAACTTTAAAGGACCTGGAGAAGCAGAAAAAGAAAAAGAAATGAGTTGCAAGGAAGCCATGAGATGAATTCTCATTTAAAATCTGTTCTGTCCAAATTGTGTTTTAAAGCATTCAGAGGGGAAAGGCATTGGATGTTTCAGGAATTAAATCAAGTCTCTGCTGGAAGTGGGCAGAGAGCAGAAAGAAGCAGTGATAAATAGCCACAGGACAGGACAAGCCAGGAAGAAGGCTCAAGAACTCTGAGGAGTGAGGCCAGGCTGGCAGAACATGACAGGTGATAAAGCTGAAAAGCAGGCTGAGAGAAGGGAAAGCTAACGAGAAAGACAGAGGGGAACTACAGATATAGTGAATCCTTATGACAGAACTAAGGTCAGAGTCCAGGGTTTCAGGCCAGATGAGATGTGTTGGTAAAGTGCTAAGTTTGAGAAATCGACCCAGAGTTGATGGCTAAACACCTGGACCAGGCATGAGGGCATGGGAAGAAGCAGAATCAAAGTACACAGGTAAGGACTGGTAGCCAAGGTTCAAAGTGAACCTAAAGGAACAAACAGAGAATGACTGGAGTTCAGACAGGGAGACTGAGAACAATGTCTTCAGTTCTGTTATAGGTGAGAGGATACGCATAATAGTGAAACCAGAGCAAGAATGCTGACTAGATTCAAGCCTGTATGCTCTTATCCACAGTTTTAAGCATTTTCTGTGGTGTTGGCAGATATGGTATTTTGCTCCCTCGAACAAGGCAGGGTCCTATAGGAGATTAGGGTTGGTGATGGCAATCACCAAAGGGTTAGGCCTCTAAGTAATCCCCATTCATCTAACCTCTTCAACTAGGGTAGTCTGCACTCTTCTCAGGGGCCCATTTTTACCAAGGCAGGTGGGGGAAAAGTCTGGCATGTTGGCTGGGAATATGAACATGGGGAGCAACTTTTAGGATCCAACTTCTATATGGGTGTATGTTGTAATTATTAATGATATAAGGTACTCTCAAAGACAACAGTAAGGCCTTGATGTCAACCTTTAATAGAGTCATCTTTTGGGGGGGGGTGCAAGGCAATTGGGGTTAAGTGACTTGCCCACAGTCACACAGCTTGTAAGTGTCAAGTGTCTGAGGCTGGATTTGAACTCAGGTCCTCCTGACCCCAGGGCCAGTGCTCTATCCACTATGCCACCTAGCTGCCCCCATTCTATATATACTGGCATGAGGGGATGACTATCTAGGAAGAGGTTGTCCTGATACTACTATTTATGTAAGCAAGGAGATATAGAAGGCTGAATGACTCTTAAAAGATCTTGGGAGGTCCATCCTGAATGACCTGATAGGGTTATGGCAAGCTCACAAAGGAGGCCTGGTGTGAGGGCTCTCCAGAGACAGAGAGCTATGTCTCACCTTCCACAGGAAGTGGCAGCCCAATCAGCACTGTCCACTGGCCGAACTGCCTTAGCTTACTTTCTTTTGTCACTGTGGATCAGTATGGCACATCTGGCTTGCAGTTTGTATCCCCAACTAGCAGATGAGGGCGCAGATGACAGATAGGACACAGAATGGCGAGAGAAGGACTGGAAATGAGAATTCAGGGGAAAAGTCCTTTTAAGTTAACTGAGTAAGAATTCTGTACCCCAACTATGCCCAAAGTACTGTAATTCAAAGGTATGAATGTACATGTTAGTGGTAAAGGTGAGTCTTATGAATGCCAGGAAGGAGAAAACTGATCATTCCATTGGCCTGCTAGAAAACAGCAAGTGTATCTTTCAAGTGTTAGATTGACTCCTCATTCCAACTGTTGGTCCATATCTGGTTGGTCAATCAGATAAAGAGGTCCAGGGCTCATCTAGAAGTCAGTCAGTCAGTCAACAAGCATTTATTAAGCACTTACTATTGTCAGGCACCGTGCTAAGTGCTAGGGATACAAAGAAAAAGAAAAAGGAAAAAAAAATAGTCCCCCTTCTCAAGGACTTCACAGTCTAATGAGGGAGAAAAACAGGAAAATAACTAGGTATGTATAAGTTATTACAGAGTAATTGGAAGATAATCTTACAGAGGAAGGCACTACTACCTGTGCTGATCAGGATAGGTCTCTTACAGAAGGTGAGATGTGAGCTGAGTCTAAAGGATTCCAGGGAACTTAAAAGGCAAAAGTGAGGGGCAGAGCCTTCTAGGCCTGGGAGACAGCTTGTGCAAATGCATGAAGTTAAGAGATGAAGTATCACATGTGAGGAACAAACAATCCAGTGTAGCTAGGTTACAGGGTGCATGGAAGGGAGTGAAGTGTAAAAAGACTGGAAAGGTAGAAAGGGCACAGGTGGTGAAGAACTTCAAATATCTAACAGGAGACAAACAAAAGGGTTGGATTAGGGAATCTCCAAGAGATCTGCTTGCTGTCACTTTCTACAATCACCTTTGAGGGTTTCTTATGGAAACCTATATAATTTAAAATATGCCAGCCTGAGGACTTGTTTTGGGATAAAATGGCCACCTTGATGAAAATGTGCATCTCCCAACTGCATCCACTTTGTGGAGGGAGGGCCAAGTTGGTTTAAACCTCAGTTATCAAAATAAGGCAATCACCCATACCTTTTGTTCATTTAAAAAATGTGCCCTGGAAGAGTAAATGAAACTCATCTGGCCTCAAACATGAGACTTGAAAGGGAGTAAATGTATTTCAATGGCACTTATATATAGATACAGGTCTTGAAGTCTACAATTCACTGAGTCAATACATCAATTACAGCTCATGCTTAGTGGGACACAACATTTGGAAATGAAGACAAAAGCTAAGGTATAAGCCACAGGAACATAAAATTTGGAGCTGGAAAAAACTTAATCATCTTGTCTAACTTCCTCTTTTTATTGAGGAAAGTGAGACCCAAAGTGAGGAAAGTGAGTTTGATTTGTCCAAGGTCACACAGCTGGTATGCAATAGAGCTAGGTTTCAAACCTAGCTCCTCAGACTCCAAATTCTGTGATCTCTCTATGGCCCTGTGGGCCATATGTCTCAAAGGATGAGTTGTGGTGTCTTCTTGGAGTTGGGCACTCAGGTTGAAGTGGTTCCATGAGGAATGATTGTACATCCTGGCTTGGCTACCTATAGTACAGTCATAAGTCTGGAAATTAGTTAGTACAGGCAAAGAGGATGTTCAGGGTACAGCAAGTTGTAGGCCTAAAAGGCCCAGGAGAATACCCATGATGTTAGCTGATCAGAAGCAGACACACCAGGATCCAGAAAAGCCATACGCACACTTTTCAGCAAAGTTTGAAAACTGTAACCATTATCTATGGTTGTCCATCCAAAACTCTGAACCTTTAGTGAAAAGTATATGAGTTGACTTGTTATAAAATAAGTATATGTTATAAAATAACAGGATTTAGCGCTAAATAGTACCTTAGAGATCATCTAGGTCAATGCTCTCATTTTACAGATGTCAAAATTGAGGCTCAATGACGGAACATAGATTTAATATAATTTTATATCATACTGCTATTATGTAACAGACCCAGGATTCAAATCCCATGTCTTCTAACTCTAAATCTAGTTCTCTTTCAATTACATCATACGATCTCCGAGTGTGGGGTTTTCTGACATTAAAAATATGTATCTTTATAAGTATTTTAAATGTCCCTGTATATGGTACCACTTGCATGTACTATGTCTTCAACATTTGCCTGCTTTGCCTAACTTAGTACCCAACTCTAACAAAACTAGGGGTTGGGATGCTGGGTTCAAAATGGTCAGGTGGAGAATGTAGTCCAGTCAAGTAGACAGGAAACAACGCCTTGGGGTACAGAACATGTGTGCAGCCCCACCCAGCAACACAGTCAGGATATGACTATTGATTCCTAGACAACAACAATCCAATCTCAGCCTGTCTTAGAAGCAGCTTTTGCGATATAGGCAGATAAAGACTGGCAAGTGTGGATTGGAGCTGATGGCTGGCAACTGAGGCAGAGATAGAGCACCAGGTCCCCAGGAAGAAATACTTTGGAGTGAACTCAGTCTTTGGAGTGACAATGGTGTGACAATGCCATCCAAAGGAGCTTCCAGAGAAGGTCCTGATAGAAAAGACCATGAATATAACCATGATCTATGGCCATAATCTTTCTGCTGGTCTCTGCTGAAACAAAACCTCATGGAAAAAAAAATACCTCAAGGAATAGAAATGTTTTTTCCTTTGCAAATAACATTCAGAGTTGGCAGAATGAGTAAGGAGCAGTCAAAAGACAAGTTAACAGTTCGCCTGCCCAAGCCTAATCTAAAGGTGTTGAAAGGGTGGGGTTAAGCCACCAACAAGGGCTTTTGGATAAAAAGTTGCTTTGAAGCCCATCTGGTAGAGTAGGGAGTCTGTTCTCGTGAGGACTCAAAGAATGCCAGAGTTAGATTAAATAGTCATTAATAACAGCTGAAGTTTAAATCAGAGAGTATTGTTTTTTTTAATCCCCCAACCCCTCCCTCCCAACAAAGCATGTAGATTGTAGGCTATAACTTGAAACTCAGTTATCCACACCCAGGGGAATGCTCACTTAATCATAAAACAAACACACTTAATGACAGTTACCTCAACTGTAGTACCCAAAAGGAAATAAATCACTTCTGGAGTGCTAATTTTGAAAACCCAAACTTATAAATGTAATTCAAAAGTCAAAGTAACACAAACTCAACCTATTACACATCTGGGAATTTCTCCTATGCCCATAGACTTTTAGGAAACAAGATTGTGTCTAAAGAGGGAGAGACAAAAGACAGAAACAAGAAAACCAGCCAGAAAGTTAGAAAAGTGTTGTTGTAATTGTTAATGATATAAGGCACTGTCAAAGACAACAGTAAGGCCTTGATGTCAACCTTTAACAGAGTCATCTTTTGGGGGGGAGCGGAGCAAGGCAATCAGGGTTAAATGACTAGCCCAGGGTCACAAAGCTTGTAAGTGTCAAGTGTCTGAGGCCGGATTTGAACTCAGGTCCTCCTGACCCCAGGGCCAGTGCTCTATCCACTGTGCCACCTAGTTGCCCCCAGAGTTATCTTAATAGGGAAAAAAAAAAAAGGATTTCTTGAGAACAGTGTACAGCTTATGGAGATAGGTTTTGTCACTTTTCTTTTCACAGAAATCTGATAAATGATTTTACCACACTCAGTGTGTCTGTTTATACAAGAAGAGAGGAACTGATCTGAGGACTACTCTTTCATAGTGACTTCCCCAAGGTCAAAACTTGTTTCTCACCTATGTTCATCCTCCGGGAATTCTGAGTCTCAAAAGTACTTAGCCCATTATGGCAGCAGTTTCTCACATGATGTAAAGACACAGGAAATACCAGAGATAAAAAGCCATACAGCTGAAGTGACAGAGGGAAATGAGACAGAGGGAGAAAGAGAAGAGGAGAGAGAGGGGAAGAAAAAGTAGAAGGGAGAGGAGGAGGAAGAATCGAGTAAATAAGAATGATGACAGGATGTTGAAGGCATCCTTGCAAATAAGGAAAAACCTCTAAACTCACAAAGGACTTCTCCCCCAATATTGTCTCCCCTTAAGTACACAGAAGGAGTGATAGCAACAGTTGGGAAGTCTGAAACTTCTATTTCCATTCCAAGACAAAGAGATATTTTAAAAAGCTACTGTAGTCATAGGACAAGTGGGACAAAATGGACAAGAGAGATTCAGGAGTTGAGATTCTACCTTGGTTCCAAGCATGGCATTGGGGATGAAATTTCAGTGTTTTCCACTCTATAAAACTGGGTACATAAATATGTGCCTCTAGGAATTCATTACATTTTTAAAACTACCAACCCCTTCCCAACTGTATTTTTTAATTTTTGAGACAGAGACATAAAGAAAGACCCTCGACATACCTGGATACTCTGAACAACATCTTTAAAGGGAGATGATCTCTGGGTCCAGATGTTTACCAAGTCCATAGCTCTGTCAAAGTTCTTTACATATTCACCATACATCTTCAGGAATGGAGCTAGCTTCTGAAGAATATCCCCAATCCTAGGATTGGTGCTCCTTGGAAAGGTTGAGCAGAGTAAGAAAGAAATTCTTGTTATCAGTTAGCGACATCACACACATACACCCATACTGACTGGAGGGCAGAGCCTCTATTTAAGGAGGGAGCTCAACATAGTTTTCTCATTTCCCACCAATTACACTGCTTTTGGACTTATATGGAACTCTCTGTCAAGCCTTCCTTCTCCAGGTAACTCATCATTGGAAAATTTCATTATCTAGCAAAACTGAATCTGCCTGGTACTCACATCTCATCAGTACCCTCTGCCCCTGTGATTGGACCCCCTGACTAGAGGGCAGCAACATGGGCTCCAGGGCCTCTATTTAAAGAGGGGGCTGCAGGGGCAGCTAGGTGGCGTAATGGATAGAGCACCAGCCCTAAAGTCAGGAGGACCTGAGTTCAAATCTGGCCTCAGACCCAACACTTGACACTTACTAGCTGTGTGACCTTGGGCAAGTCACTTAACCCCAATGCCTAAAAGCCAAAAAATAAAAATAAAGAGGGGGCTGGGCACAGCCTTCTCCCCATTACCCATAAGTTATACTGACTTTGGACTTCTTTGGACCTCCCCATCACGTCCCTGCCTGCTCACCCCAACTCCCCTTTCGGCTCTTTTTTTGTGTACTGTCTTCCGCATATATAAGGTCCTTGAGGGCAGAAACTTTCTTTGTTTTTATTTGTATTTATATTCCTAATATTTAGCATGGTACTAGCACATGGTAGGCACTGAAATGTTTATTGATTTACTGACATACTCCCACAGAGCAATGGAATTCTACCAAAACAAGACCAAAGCAAAAACAGAAAGTACAGTATACCTCTAAGGATCATGCTAGAAGCTAGGGAGTATCCAAAGAATATATAAGACTTGGTCCCTACCCTCCAGAAATTTACACAGAGTTTGGGGAGATAAGATACAAACTCCTAAACAACAGTAGGACAAAAGAAAATAGTGTATGAATAAATGATAAATTACATAGACAGCTGAGTGTAATGAATAGAGCACTAGACTTGGAGTGAGGAAGGCCTGGGTTTGAATCTCACCTCAGACACTAGCTAGGCCTCAGTTTTCCTCATTTGTAAAATAAAAGTGTTGGACTCAGTGATGTTTAAGATCCCTTTCATGTCTAATCAGTAATTTCATCACTGTCATTTCCCTATGAATCCCCACCAATTGTTTAGAACTTTACTTGTAAGAAGCCAAAAACAAAAAACCCAAAACCAAAACTCAACACATTGCCCATATCTTATGAGGTATAATTTTCTTCACCAAGGTCTGCTACCTTTCTACTGAAAGAAGAAATACCTTATCCTAAGTCCCATGGTATCATGATCACTGATCAGTTCTATTAAAGACTGATTAGATATAGATATATTATACACCCACATATACACATATGTGTGCTTATATGTGTTTATATGTACATATGTGTATACATACACAGATACATATATATGTGTGTCTGTGTGTGTTAATGCCTACTATTTACAAGACGTTCATACTCCTTTGAGAGGCAGCGTAACGTAGTGAATAGAGATCATCAGGAAGACCTGGCTTCCCAGTCCTACCTCTGACATACACTGGCTGTGGGATCCTAGTCAAGTCACTTAAACTCTCAGGATCCCAAATAATTCTCTAAAGACTTAAAAGTTGCAAGCACTGGTAGAGGCAATTTAGTCACTGGTAGTCCCCCTAGAGCAGTGAAATCACAAGCCTTTTAAAAACAAATCAAGGCTCCCAGAACCAAGATGGCGGAGTAAAAAGGTCGTCTCTCTTACCCTCCCTTATCAACCTCTGAAAACCCAGAAAATATCACCCCAGAAAAAAAAAACAACCCTAGAACAGCTGAATTAGAAGAAAGACGGGGAACAGCAGTGCAGCAGCCCAACAAACCGGTCTCCCAGTGCCTCAGCAAAAATAAGGGAAGCAGCACTACAAAGGACCCCAGGCGGATAAGCACCCTGCAGCATTCATCTGAAAGGAGCTGAAGAAAACAACCTAGAGTCTTCCTAAAGTCCCAGCCTTGCTGATTCCAACCCAATACCACGTAAGCTGTCAGAACCCTACAGCCTCCAACTGTCAACCAGGAGGAGATCCTGAAGCCAAGGTGGTAGAGCAGGCAAACACCAACACCTGGACCTTTGAGTCCCTCAGTGAGGGTAGGGGAACCAGTGGAAACCAGCCCAGAAAACCACCAGGTGCCTCAGCACTCTAATGCAAAGGAATCTCCCAGTGCATTAGCAGAAACAAGAGAGGCAGCATTGCAAGGGGCCCCAGGCAGATAAACACCCTGCAGCACCCATCTAAAGGCGGCTGAAGAAAGCTAAAGGAAAGGAAAAGCACGCAACCTAGAATTGCCTGAAAGTTCCAGCCTTGCCCAATACCAGGTAAGCTGCCAAAACCCTATAGCCTCCAACTGCCAACATAAGAAGCCCCAGCACACAAAGCCAGTGACCAAGACCTAGGCTCCCAACACAAGAAGCTTGGGTCAGTGCCCTCTGTTCCACAGCAGGACAGCTCAATCTCTTTAAAGGCCAGGGAATACCATGAGTAAAAAGAAACACACCATAGATTCATACTATGAGAAGAGTGGAGATCAAGACAGAAATTCTGAAGAGGACAATATTGTCAACAAATCCACATCTGCAACATCAAAAGGGAGTATGAACTGGTCTGAAGCCCAAGGAGCCTTCTTAGAAGAGCTCAAGAAGGATTTTAAAAGTCTAATGAGAGAGGTAGAAGAGTCCTTAAAAAATACAATTGGCCAATTGGAAAAAAAGTACACTAAATAAAACAAGACCCTAAAAAACACAATTGACAAACTGGAAAACAAGTACACTGAAGAAAACAAATCCCTTAAAAATACAATTGGCCAATTGAAGAAGGAAGTACAAAAACTAAACAGAAAAAACAATCTGTTAAAAACTAGAATTGGACAAATGGAAACTAATGACTCTATGAGAGAGCAAGAATCAGTCAAACAGAAACAAAAAAATGAAAAAATGATGAAAACATAAAATACCTCATCAGTAAAACAACCTGGAAAATCGATCCAGGAGAGACAATTTAAAAATCATTGGACTACCTGAAAACCATGATGAAAAACAGAGCCTGGACAGTATCTTTCAGGAATCATAAAAGAAAACTGCCCTGAAGTCCTAGAACCAGAAGGTAAAATAACCACAGAAAGAATAATCGCTCACCACCTGAAAAAGATCCCAAATTGACAACTCCAAGGAATATAATAGCAAAATTCCAAAACTACCAGATGAAAGAGAAGGTGCTGCAAGCAGCCAGAAAGAAACAATTTAAATATCATGGAACCACAGTCAGGATTACACAGGACCTTGCAGCTTCTACATTAAAAGACTGCAGGGCGTGGAACATGATATTCTGTAAGGCAAAGGAGCTTGGATTGCAGCCAAGGATCAACTACCCTGCAAAAATGAGCATGATTTTCCAAGGGAGAGATGGATATTCAACAAATAGGGGACTTCCAAACCTTCCTCATAAAAAGACCAGAGCTCAACAAAAAATTTGATCTTCAAGTACAAGATTCAAGAAAGACATAAAAAGGTAAATGGGACAGAAAGATACAAATGTTGTTAATAAGGGTGGACTGTTTACATCCCTACAAGGGAAGATGACACTTGCAACTCTTGAGAACTGTATTGTTATTACACCATGTTAAAGGAGTATACATAAAGGGGGCGGATATTAGTTGACTTTGATGTAATGATAAAAAAAAATCTAATCAAGTGGGTTAAATGGATCCAAGTAAGTGGATTAGTCTGATCTTAGAAAATGTACTTGAGAAAGGAGGAGGCAGACAAGGGTAAATTACATTACAGGAAAAGACAGAAAATCCTATTACAGCAGAGGGAAAGAAGGGAGGGGTGAGCATTGTTTGAACCTTACTCTCATCAGATTTGGCTCAAGAAGGAATAACATAATCAGTTAGGTATAGAAATCTAACTTGCCCTATGGGCAGTAGGAGGGAAAAGGGAAAGAAAAGGGAGGGGGATGGAGGGAAGAAGCAGTGGGGCAAGAAGAGGGAGGGGGATAATAGAAGGGAGGAGAGACTGAAGGAGGCGGTGGTCAAAAGCAAAGTACTGTGGGGGGAAGGAGAGAGGACAAAGAAAAGCATAAACAGAGGGGAAAAAAGGATGGAGAAAAAGACTCAGATAGTAATCATAACCGTGAAAGTTGAATCGCTATCTTTTTTTTTCTCTTCTGTTGAGTTTTGTTTCCTCTTTCTGATGGTTCATCCTATTGGTTTTAACTTTTACTTACAACTTCACTAATGTGAAAATATGTTTAATAGGAATGTAAATGTATAGCCTATATCAGATTGTGCACTGTCTTGGGGAGGGTGGTGGGGAGGAAGGGGGAGAAAAATTTTAAACTCAAAAGCGTATGGAAGTAATTGTTGATAAATCAAAATAAATTAATAAAATTAAAAAACAAAAAAAACAAATCAAGGGGCAGCTAGGTGGCGCAGTGGATAGAGCACCGGCCCTGAAGGCAGGAGGACCTGAGTTCAAATCCGACCTCAGACCAAACACTTGACACATACTAGCTGTGTGATCTTGGGCAAGTCACTTAACCTCGACTGCCTCACTAAAAAACAACAACAAAAAAAACCAAATCAACAACAACAAAATTATAATGCACTACGCTAGGTGGTAGGAATGCAAAGACAAATGAAGCAGCACCTATCCCCAAGCAATCTAATTTTCTTCTTCAACATGTGAGCAAATAAATTCAGGGCAATATGAGGATGGAGAGAACACTAACATCTACAGAGATCACAGAAGGCTTCATTGTGGGGGTTGGGGAGGGAGAGTGATACCCAAGGTCAGTCAACTAGCATTTACTAAGTGCCTTCACAGTTCCAGACACTATGCAAAATGCTGGGGATAGGAAGAAAGGCAAAAAACCGTCCCTGACCTTAAGCTGAAAGGAGGTGAGCCTTGAAGGAAGATTCAGACAAGTTGC